GTAATAAGAATAAAAATAATCGAGTCTTAGGATAAACAAGGAGAACATGAGAGAATGTTATGTTTCGGGAAGGAGAATATTTTCTGTGAGAATGAAACTTTTTTAATTCTCTTTTTAAAATTTTTAACTTTATATATTATCTTTATAATTAATTTTATTACAATAAAAAATTATTTTTTTATTAATTAGGTGGGTCATGGGCTGGCCCGCCCGTCCGCGGGTTGGCCCGACGGGTTGATCGAGCTTGGCAGGGCGGGCCAAAGCGGGCTGGTGGGCTGAAAACACCAACCCACCCCGCCATATTATAGCGGGCTGACGGGCCGACCCGCCAGACCTAGCCCGCTTTGCCATCCGTAAAGAGGATATGAGATTCTTCTTAATATCCCTTTATCAAGAATTGAAGTAGGGTCTACTTATTATAATAAATGAGATTAAAAAGATTTTAATATTATTTAGATTTTAACATAAATTTAATTAAGATAGATAATACGATATTTTTTCCGACTGATCTGTTAAAAATATTCGACAAAATTACTAAGTATCAGTTAAATATTGTTTAATTGATCTTGTAAATTCTCAACTACTAAGTCACCCATTCGTTCAAGATTCTTTTGATTCTCTTCTTTTATGGGGATTCTGTGTCCAACTATAATTCATTTTATCTATACATTACTGCTGACGCTGAAGTCCATCCTTTATTTCCTAGTGGCTTTACGCAATCGAGTTTATTCAATTGGTAGTACCATGGTTTTGACCTAATATCATTTTATGATAGTCATTGGAAATTGGGCAGAGTAACTATGAAAATTGGGCCAATACTGGCCATTTATGTGCTCATAGGCAGGTGGGAATATTATTTAGTTAGGGAGAAAATGGCTTACACTATCTTTCATTCAGCTTTATCTTAAATTAACGGATGAATATGTTTTGTGATGATCCTTGCCAATCGGGTACATTTTTCTTTCTGAATGAATGATACCTTTTAGCTGATAAAAAAATTTAACCTCATCGTGTTATCTACAGTTCATAGTTTAGCATATTTCCAATTGTAATTCTTTAAGCAGATTGATTGCTCGAAAAAGATCATTTTCTCTTTTGGGCATGGCTGATAACATCCTACATTGACACAGTAGTGTTGAACTACGATTTTTCTCTAATATACTATTCACTCCCATGGTTTTCCATGAACTGACCATTTTCTTAATTTAGACAAATGCCTCCATACAATCACTTTACAAATACACCATCCTACTGTCCTCTGCATGGACTCAAATTCAAAAGATAAGATTTGCCATGTCCACAAATATAATTTTGACAAACTTCAAAACGAAGTCAATATAATACGTAGCAAGAGTAATGTAGCAATGTCGTAGAACAAGCATCTTTCAATTCAATATATGATCTGCCCATAAATGACATTCCATATTGCTATTAAAACACTACTAAAAATTGTTGTCCTTCATTTACTCTACGTGGATGTCAATCATTCTATTACAGCAAAACATGGCTATTTCCACTCTTCCGTTTCTGCTCACTAGCTTTCTCCTCATTGTCTTCCCTTAGAAATAAGGAAACGGAAAGAAAAAAAAAAGGCTATTATTGACTCCTGACAAATGTTTCATGCATCATCCTGCATATTCCAGATTTACAAGCTGAAAATTATGTACAGTTACGGAAAACAGGCAGGAAGCGCAGCAGAAAAACTATCATCTCAAGTCAACTCTGCTGATAATGATTACGTGTAAGTCCACACCATCTGCAGAGAGTTTACAAACATCAAAACAGGGTTCATTAAGAAATAACAGAAAGTTCAATGTAGCATTAGAATAAAGCAGCAATGATTAACGCTTAGAAAGAACAAAAGAGATGAAATCTTGGTTGGAAAAAAAATAATAGAGGAAGTTACTCCTCGGTCCCGGGTTTGTGATTGTTATCTTTGGTTTCAATTCCTAATCCATTCAATGTTTAGAGTTTCACTCTACCTTGATAAACCTATTTGGAAAGCTTAAACTCGGTAAATCCTTCAAGTCATTCTATGTTGAAATTCAGAATCAATTTCGCAAGTCCCTAACATACCTCCATAAATTGGATTGACCAAGAGTTAAAATTGCTACCATAATGAAATTGCTCATACTCTGTTGCAGGAAGCTAGAATGCCTTCGCATTTCTAGGGTGGTGTTGTTGTAAATAGGCACAAATGTGGGATAGAATATCTTTGTACATATTCACATTATACCTGTAATTATTAAGATAATTTTTTCACTTTTTCCATCTTTCACTTAATAGGTTTAGCCTATTCATAGGTTCCATCTTTCCCTTAATAGGTTTTAGCATATTCACAGTTTCCATCTTTCTCTTAATATGGATTAGAGCCTGTATTGAATCAACATCAAATAGTTTTCCAATTTTCTCATCTCCACTGACACTACCTAGGTCGGCAACTGTATTTAATGAGCATTGTCTCCAAATCAGCCCATTATTGAAGCTGCACAGCCAACTAACTTGTAGCATTGCTCTCACATCATCATTGATGAGGCACCCTTTCAGGCCCAATGGTCAATATTCCCCAGCCTGTCCTGCTTAAGAGCTATTTGAAAGCACTAATTACTACTCTTTGATGCGTTTCCCTTCTTTTGCATGGAGGAAGATAAATGTTCTTCCTTCAAGTCCTAGGGTCCCAATAACCTCCTAAACTAGCTAGTTTTATATCATCTGCATGCTCTTATAGATTCTCTAAGTAAGCCTTCTACCACCTATTCCTGACCATGAAGGGTAAGAGTTCTTTCAATGTCTTTGGTATTGTTCCTCAAGATATTTGGATCATTAACTATGATCCAACGGATCATATTACAGTTTTGGCCTCAAACTTCTCATCTTCCTCCACATTGTCTAGAAACCAACACATTATTATTGCTAATGGAACTCCTACCACTATTGTTGCATTATGTAACACTCAACTTTGACCATCCCTATCTTTAAACAATGATAATTATTATAAAGTTAGAATTTTGATCAACGACTGCTAGACCTTCAAGTCTCCTTAGCAACAAATATAGATAGGTGTCCTTCATATTCCCATAACATTGTTTCTATACAAAAACTAGCACGAGACTAGAAATGTGCAGTATCATATTTTCACTCCCATTGTGTTTTTCATTGCCAAGGACTAGGGTCTGTTACATTCTTACAACATATGGAGACTAAAGGTGGTACAAGCAAAAAGGTGTTGCCTTCCTAGTATAAACAAACTAAGAATCTTGGACAGTTTCCCAGGTTTAGCATCAACAAATGCATCTCTGGCATCCTGCTTTTAGTGTTTTTAAGTCTTTATTTCCTCACTTATTTACAAAAGAGTCAATAAAGTATTTTTCATAGTAATATTTGTCAATTAGGAAAAAACACCATTGAGCAACATTTTTTCTTAGAAATTATAAGTCTTGAACCTTTTGGTCGTTTTATTTTAATGTGTGCGGACCAATTAGTACATCTACTATATTCGGGATTAAGTGGTTTGTGTTGTTTATTAATGATTGTAATTGAGTCATGTGGATATTTCTCATGAAAAACAGATTTTTCAAGAGATCTTAATTTTTTTTCCATTTTATTCAAAATCAGTTAGGAAAGACCATCAAAAGATTGCAGTCTGATAATGGCATTGAGTATGTGAATCAAATTTCTCAAATGCAGTAGTAGAAACGAAAAACCATCATCTTGAAGTTGTTAAAGCTCTACTTTTCTAGATATTTATTCCCAACTTTATTAGGAGAAGCCATCTTGACTGCTTAATCATCATAAACAATTTACCTTCTCGTCTTAAATGATATTGGCCCAGTACAACACATGCTATCATCTTCCCTTGCTCTCCCTATCATGTCTAGTTTCCAACTCGTGTCTTTGGATGTGTTGTCTTTGTTTACTTTCACAGTCAACATTGTAGAAAGTTAAACTCATTGACTATCAACCGTATTTTCATTAGATTATGGTAAGTGTTGTTACTCACAAAGTCATCATGTCTGTGTCTCACATGTCTATGGTAAGTGTTGTTACTCACAAACTTATTTTCATACTGGTCCTCAATTTCATGAGTAGAATAAGTCCTTGTTTTACGAATAAGATGAAAATAATTTCAAGTGGTAAGATATTAGTGGGTGATGTTTGATTCGATAGATTGGAGGAGAATTAATTTTGAAATTGATAGAATTTGTACTATTTCTCACCAACTTTTGTTCAGCTCTCTCCTCGTCTCTTATATATTTCTTTTCAACAAACATTTTTAATTTCTACTTTATTACTGTCCTATTTTGGCTCATCATTTTTATTTTTACCCACTCTATTTCTCTTATCTTTACCAAATAGGAAATAAAAGTAGAATGTGGTTGAGTCATTACCAATGTTTCATATCCCGGATAACAAAATGTGGTGCCTAATCCCAAAAAATGTTATACCTAGCCACTGTTGTGAAATTTTCTATGTACTGTATACTGTATACGTAAAAATTCTCAAAAATGATAAAAAATTACATAAACATTCATAAAAAGGCTTAGGTGTCTTAAGCAAAACATACAAGTAAATAGCAATAAAAGTCAAATTTGGTAAAAAGGAATGATCAATGTCATCTTCTAAACCTAAGTCTTTAAACTTTCACTACTATTACAGTTGTACATTTCATTTTTGGAAATTGAAATCCCACTGTAGACATGTCAGAAATTCAAGATCAGTTAGTAAAAAAGTTGGCTATAAGATGTTTTGAGCAAATTACCCACTTGAAGAAAAGTCTGACCACATACAGATCAGCCTCTAATTAAGAAACCTAGAACAAAAGGAAACAAAATAAGGATGCAAAGATTGTCAAGTAATGACAGGCTGAAGAGTGCAGAGAACCAGCCTACTATTTGAATAATTATGATGTAATAAGCATTCTAAACAATGAATGAAATTTAAATGGAGTTATTATGAACATCTTATCTATCGTAGTCAATATAGATTTCTTGGTGAGGAAGCTACCAAATATGAAGCAATTTGCATTTTAGAGCCTTCATTGCTGCTTTTGCAAACACTTGAGCAGCTTCAGCTTCAGCTTCAGCAGCCTCTGCCTCCCTAGCTGCTGCCTCAGCCTGTGCAATGGCAGCCTCTGCCTCTGCAACTGCTTTTGCAGCTGCAGCAGCTGCCTCTTGAGCTGTCAAGCCCTTCACTTTTGATATCTCTGCATCAATTTGGGATTTTGAAAGGATGCTGACATCATCATTCCTGTTTGCTTCTGAAGGATCTTTGGACCTCCCTTCCAAAAGTATCAATGATGTGCATCTTCTTTTCTCAGAGACAGTTGAACTTGATGCAATCCTGTACTTATGCTTTTCCTGTCAACAGATATATCATACACAGGATCAACATATGATATATTGAATTTTCATGTCAAATGAACTTCTCACAGGAATATCTGTTTACTGTATGGGGCAATTTATCAACTCAAATATAATTCGTCTCACTAAAGAAAGTGCCCATATTTGCTCATTTCAAATGAATATATATAAATTGTCTATTTATATTTCTAATGATGCTAGGCCCATTTTGCAAGTATATAGGAGAAAAAGGAGAGAGTTGGAGAGGAACATGGGCCCAGAGGCAGTGTATTAAGGCAGCTGAGATGGAATTTGGAAAAGGGAAAGAGAGGGCTGTAACTGAATGGACAGACGGTAAGCAAGGACGTGACAGGGAGATTATGCAAAAACTCAATTGTGTGGTTGATGCAAGGATGAGTTGAGGGGTATCTCTCTCGGTCTCAAGGTTATTGGAGGGTTTTCCTATTTACTTTTATTTCTGTTTTCACAATTGGAAGGGCTTAGCCCCATTCCATTACTGTTTTCAGATTTCAGTTTTTGTTTACATACTCAGTCCTGTGAAAATCTATTAATGCACTATTAGTGTCCCATTCTAATTGCTCAGTCTTAACATGACATAACCAATTAATTTCATCGTCAATCATTTTCTCTTAATTACTTTCAGCAACGTCAAATATTTGACACTTTCATACATGAAAAACATCAATATGGCCTTCAAACCAGATTGACTATGTCTACGCAGGTTTTCAGGTAGAGCATCCCATAGTAAAATTACCTTGATTATTTTGCCACTTGCTACCATATGCTTCAGTTTGGTTGACAGTAATTTACTGAGATTTGGTGGAGACTGGTATTTTTCCTAAACACACGAAAAGTTTCAAAATTACTTTTGAATTTTGACGCAATTATGCAGACAAGTATGTAAACAATCATATATTGATTTAGCTATAATGACTATTCACCAATATTCTAAAGGTAAATCACAGGTCAATTTCAAAGACAAGATATGCAGCATATGGCATGGTATGATGAGTTGAATTATGCTATTTTTTTAACCATTGTCGAGACAAAACAATTAATAGGTTGTTACTTGCCAGGTTAAAGCACACACAATGGCTTTACACAGTGTATGCAACTAACAAAGACATGTATTAAAGCACATATTCATGATCAATAACTTAAAAAAAAAAAAAAAACTCTAGAAACATAATTCATAGATGTACAGGTCAGTCTTGTCAAAATTTGTGATAATCGAATAATATACAAGTTTTTAATAAATATTCTGCTATTAAATTTAATATATATTTATATATAATATTAATTAAATATTTGTATTTGAAGAACTAAAACAAATTTTACTATGTTTTAAAATAGATATTATGATAAAAAGGTATTAAACAACAATTGAAATGACAACAATTATCATACAATATGTAGTTTTTATTTGATATATATTAGACATCAGACAATACTTAAATAACATGACAAAAATGTGGCTCCAGTCAGACTAAACATCCCTTTTAAGGGTGACAGAGTGCCATCACTCCTTCTGTGATTCAGGTCAAATTCATGTAGGTCATGATGTGATTCAATCATCAAAAAAATTTGCTCACCAATTCATAATGCCAGCTTCTAGACTCATGTGTATCATCTCAGGAATATGATCTATCACAAATAACCATGATTGAAATTACTAGAAATTAATAAAATCTTATAGCACTTTCCGACCTGAGAGAGAGATATTTCCAATTCATTTCAAAGATTTCTAATGCTGAGAGTCAATCACAAAGGCAGCTAGTACATAATTATGTATATTTTAAAATGATAGATCATCCATCAATAATATAAAAGTTAAATTATCCATTACTTTTGGAGAAGATAACATTTATTGATGTTTAGATTTTACTATCATTTGTAAAGTGAAGTAGAAATACCTCTATGTAAGAAATAATGGCAGCCTTGTCAGAACCCTTTTGCTCCTTCATGTAGACAATGGCCTCTAATATATGATTATCTACCAACCTGACACCATTATTGCTTTCATAAGTCAAAAGTATATATTGATGCATAATTTCAACATTCAGAACAAGATGAAATGTTATCAGAAGTGACATCAAACAGGAAAACAGTTTACAAATACTTACAATTGATATTTGCAAGCAGAACCTATGTATAAAGCCATGAACTTTTAATTTATAATTAATGCACACTGGAATGTTAAAACATCAAGACAACTATACCTAAGCATGAATTCCTTTAGCAAAGGAGTCAAGTACAAATCAGTGCTAATTATCTATAATACTTTCCGATAGGAAGCATAAAAGGATGGAAAATGCTTTGTGGACATCAAAATGGACAACAAAAGTTAGAGGAAAAAAAAAAAAGATTATGGTAAGAGATAGAAATAATTGTATATGGTGTCACATATGGTTTAAATTCTCTGATATTCAAATAATTTAAGCAAAGAATTATCTAACAAACAATAAAAAATTCCCCCCAAAAAAGGCAAAAGTAGTGACCCATAACATGGTCTATGATCTTTCTATTCTTCTTTTCTTTCTTAATTCTAGATGGGTAATAAAACCATCTTTTTCATATGTCTTTGCCATGCTTAGAACAGATACAATCAATGGAAATGACAACTTATGAATATAAAACAGTCTAGTCATTTATTCATTTGCGAAAATTGGATAATAGCACACACATTCATGCAATCTTCGAATAAAAGACGTGTAAGGGATGTAACATCCACAGGTTTACAATCTCTAGATACTATTCACAAACAAAATTAACAAACACAGTCACAGATAATTTATTCTTTCTAGATGATAAATGGCAGATATATTTAACTGGATATATCGTAACCTTGGCAATTGTTCTTTCAAATTAGAAGATTGTAATGGTGCACCAGAAACTGCTAAAGGCTTAGTATCAAGAACTTCATCATGTCGAACTATGGTACTCAAGGCCATATGGTTAATGTCAATTTTGGGGGCAGGTAGGTTCCTCTTAAGAGCAAGCTTTGCCTTCTGCCGGGATCCCCATATTGCTGTCACATTTATATTTCGCCACTTATCCTGTTCAACAGTTCAAAAACATATAAACAAGTAAGGCAAAAATATACCACAACTTTGAAAATTTGAATGAAGCAAAGGACAGTAACATTATCTACTGTTTTATGGTGCAATAAGCATATAATCATTTGGCAAGTGCAATTGTAATATTCCCAACTAGAAAAAAATAGAATAATAAAACTTCCTTTCTGCAGCACTTCCCACAACCTGCTAGGCTATTGTAAAGACATACCTTAAGATCTACATTTGAACGCATGCGCAAAATGGCACTAAATTCAGGATCTGTAAGTATGGTGCGCCATTTTCCTGCCCCATGTTTGACTACTCCAGCTTTCAATGCAGCTTCTTCTTCTGCAGTCCATTTCTGCTTAGGAGCACCCATTGAAGGAAAGCAAGCCTACAGCTTTTTATGACAGACTAGTCTTTGCTTATACTCTAGAGGAAAAGCTTGGGAAGCAGTATTTCCCTCTTCTACTAATGCATCTTTGAACAAGAAAAAATCTGATAACTGTTGACCAACAAACAAACCCTACAAGAAAAAAAAAAGTTTCACTTTTCAACATGTACTTCTCATGACTCATAAATAAAACAACAAATCAATCAAATAAATAAACCTCCTCCCAAAAATCCCAAATATATTGACCTTAGTCCTATATTCACGTCAATGTCATCCCTAATATCCCATTGTTCTAATATATAGCTGGCAAAGGGAGTTACAACATTGTAAGAACCATGTAGAAACAGTTTTGTAGTGTACTATTGAAATGCCTGTGCTATTAGACCTCGTGAAAACATGCTGTAGTTTGGGAACAACAACAAATGATCTAGAATTATGCATTATGCAAAATGTAAAATCTGAGGATTTCAATGTATCAGCTTCAAATTGCATTGAATCTAACGAATTAAAAAACGACGAAAAGGAGCGGCCTTTCAGCTCAGACGGACAAAGTAGCAACATTTAAGTTATAAAAATCACAACAGCATAAACTAGAAAGACATGCATTCAACTGGGAAGAAAAAATGTCACACTATACTTCTGATGAATGGCCAAAATTACAACTTTCGTTCGGGAGAATAAAATCCAAAGAATGAGAAAAATAAAATAAAAGAATCGGCGGAGAGAGGTGTACCGATTAACAGGATGACGCTGAGAATTGGAAAAGTTGAAGTATTTACACAGGGAGAAATTGAATTAATCCGAAAGATCTTGCCTAAAACCAGAGAAGAATGAGCCACATGATATGAGTTTTATTCAATCGAGGTGAATTATAAAATAAAATAAAATTAAAAAATGTCTCTTTATTTTTGTCTCTGAGTAAACCTTGGAAAAAAAAAAGTTTCTGATTAAACCAATGATTTAGTCGTGAAAATATTACACTTTCTAATTTGTCTTCTTAATACAAGGGAAGGGTCATGGTTGGAATGTAAATTTAAAAAAATAAAAATCCAAATCTAACATGCACTAATTCAAAATTAGTTGATAAAGATTAATTTTTATATTATACAGACCAAATTAGGTTTATAATTTAAGAACCTAATTCCTAAGTATAGAGATATATTTTATAAATTTGATCTATTGGATAAGAATTATTAATTTAATAATTAATTAAAAAATAATATTATACAAAATAATTATCATAATTAATAAGTAGTTTAATATTCCACAAGTAAAACAACATAGTTTCAAATCATTTTAGTTTTAATAAATTACTTTGTATCAGTTTAAAAACATTCATCTTAAACTTAAATTTATATATTATATAATTATTGAGTTAGCTCTTTTATTTTTTATCAACATTAATTATATCAATCAAAATATAAATTTGATAAAAGCGATTAAGTGAATTATTTTAAAAAATTAGTTGATGTTTTACAAATTATTTTTATTTGTTTTCTATTCAAAATTAAAAGTACACGCATGCTAATTATAAAATCATAAACATACAAATATTTTATTTAACTAAAATTTAGTATAATAATAATCTATATGTTGTATGTGATTTAAGAAAAGTAACTTGGTGTAGTACAAAAAGTAATATTTAAAAAAAATATTTTAACTTTTATTTTTAGTTTAATGTGGTTGATTTTAGAATTATTGGATTAATATATATAGAGATGTTTTTTTAATTACTATCAAAGTATTTTTATTTTCTTGTCGTTAATTAATAGTTAGAATTTGGTAATTCAGTTAAATGGTATATATTATATTTCTTATTTAATATGTTAAACTTCTTTGTGTTAGGTTTGAATGGTTAATTGTGAGAAAAATAAATAGTATTGCACCATATTATAGGTCATTTTGCTTTTATTTTTACTTATTACAATCAATGTTAAGATAAATAAAATTTGTTTGTTGAGAGAAAAAAAAATTTAAAGTTTTTCGGTAGAAACATTGACTTAAAGAGCAAGACTCAGCACAACATATGTCTCTTAAATTAAATAAATGTGTTGAAGTGATTAAAAGTATATAAATTTTTATTGTAAAAAGATATATAATTTTAAAATGTTTATCTCGATTTTGCTTATGATCTTATGTATTTTTGGTCTAACCCGTTTGTGTTAAATGTAATAAAATGCATCAATAGAGCCACTAGCAGACTATATTAATAGTAGTTTATGTTTATAGTTAATCTTTCTATTATTTATGTAAATTTGGAGACTTAATTTGAATATTTTTAAAGTTTTCACAAGGACTCGCATTGCACAAAATTTAGGTAGATAAAATATAATAAGATTATTTTGAACTATGTGAGTAGTTTTAAAAGTAGTGGATTAAGTAAAAATAAGTATAATTTTATTCACAATGTTTAAGAGACTTTTTGAAGAATTATTTAGGAATAGAAATGAAAATTTTATTACGAGTTTTATAAATAAGTTGTTTAAAAGTTTATGAAAGATTCATATATAAGTAATATATTTTTATAATTTTAAGTAATTTTTTAAAATTTTAAATAATTTAAAAGTTGATAATAAAATAATTTCTATATTTTTTTAACTACTTCGTTTAGAAATGACGTGTAAATCTAAGGAATATTAAATATTCAATGTTTTTTAAAAGATGGTACAAATGATAATATGTTTTTTAAGTGAATAATAGATGTTTTTGAAATATGGAGCCACTTCAACATTATGTACTAAGCATGTGTTCTAATTCAAAGGATTATGTGTATTTTAATAATTGTAAAAAAATTGTTGAGTTGAGATTGGTTGTAGGTTGTTCGTTGGTTTGAATGGTTTTATTTTTAAAAATTATTATTATGATAAATTATTTTCTAAAATAAAATTACTTGTAGAAACATTATTTTCTAAAATTAAAAGGAAAAGAGTCGGGGTAGTAAAAATTTAACAGTAAACAAACACGAGAGGTTTCGCGAGTCCAATTCACTTGTTCCTGTTGAGTGGGCACAATCAAAATTTTCTTCACGATGGCGAATACCCTACAACGCACCCTACGCGCCACCATGGTTCGTCGGTTCTCCACCGACGCATTGGTCGAAATCAAACCAGGCGAGATCGGAATGGTTTCTGGAATTCCTGAAGAACACCGTCGTAGGAGGGTATTCTACTCTTTTTCATTCTCTTTTTATTTATTTTAAAATCATTGATTTGCTTTATTCCTGATGCGCCCTATCACCTGCAATGCACATTCACCGGCTTAGAAAACCCTACCATTTGTTCACCATATTTCTTATCTTAGTTTAATTAGGCGTAGAAGTGCATATCACATCATATATGTTTAAGGTTATGATACTAATCTTTAAGTCTTAGCTTCAAGATTTTGGCTCGGATAGATGCATTTGTAGCCATATTCATGTGTTTAGAGGATATCAATGTTTAATTGGGCGTATAGAGAGTTGAAGGAAGCAAATCTTGACCATTCAATCTTAAAGGGATTAAATGTTCGTGATTTGCTTCTTTCACCTTTCCCACTTTCACCTAATAGGCTCTCCCATGTTCTATATACCGATTTTACAGTTTGCAAGTAATTGATACATCTCTATATTCCCTACCCTCACTTGGTAATCATTGTGCCTCAGTTAGCCCTTTTATCTTGTACTTACACTGCGATGCAGGTTGTAATTTATTCTCCTGCTAGAACTGCATCTCAACAAGGATCTGGGAAGGTTGGAAGATGGAAGATCAACTTCTTATCAACCCAAAAGTAGATTCTCTCTCCTTTTATCACAATTCTTTCACTGCTTTTATTAGTATCATGGTCTGAGTTATACAAACTGGGTCTGTTTTTTTCCCCCTTCAGTAACCAGTTTGATAATTTGAGATTTTGTATGCATTGGATATCAGTTGTCTGGATATACTAGCAAATTGGTGATTTAAACTTATTCATGACGTAGAAACTTGTGCTATCATTGGCATTTCCTTTCCTATGGCAATTTTCATAGGTTTTAGTTTCAAACTAATAACACTTGTGATTCCGGGCATCCCTTTATAGTTCGAGGAATCACTAGCAATTTCGGTAGAATATCCTAAATTGGAACAATAGTTGTTTAACCATTAATAATGGCTCAACACATAGTAATTTTCTGCTAATTGTGCAGGTGGGAAAATCCACTGATGGGCTGGACATCCACTGGGGATCCCTATGCTCATGTTGGTGATTCTGCCTTGACTTTTGATAGTGAAGCAGCAGCAAAAGCATTTGCAGAGAAACATTGTTGGGAATATTCGGTATGTATTACTATTCAAATATTGAATCAAAGACACTATGTTTTGTGTTTTTTGAGTCTTTAAAGTGTCTCTTGATACAGATCATATATGTTCTTATTGAAATAAATTATTATAATGATGGACATATATTAGAAATAGAAAGTAAACGGAATCTTCATTGACAGAGACCTCTATATCTGCCTCTGAGTTGCGTCATTGGATTGGAATACTGTAAACGAAGATAAAAGCTATTGCAGAATAACAGGTTCCTTACCCTCTTATTTTGATAACCCTTTACTCTCCCCTAACTTCCTCGTAATCAATCAATAACTCCCTTGTTAAGTCCACATCTCCCTCCATTATTCCTGATTATTCATGTGACTCTGAACCGTCTGCTAAACATACTTACAAGTGTGACCAGGGCCCATGTTCTAGCCCTATGCCCATGTGACCATGCCATAGCTTCTGCGTCTCCAAAAAAATATTTGTTTCACCTTGGCCCAATTCCTAAAACGATGAACTCAAGTTGAAATTCAGCCGCCTATCCTCCAGCGGCCACACCATCTCCCTCTCATTCTATATCTTGCTCTAGTAAAATTTCTGCAAATTGCTTGTTCGACGCATATGATCCAGGCTATATTTCTTATCACTTAAAACATGTCCGTTCTTTATATCCGCATGTAATTCTGCATCAGAATTCAGAAAGTCTCTTGAATCCCCTTGTTTGGCTTTTCAAAGCACCATCGGGTCTTCTGGCTGCGAAATTTCTCACTGAGCCTCCTACGTGTGAGTTAGTTTGCACAGATAACCTAGAACCACTTTCACATGTTACTGTTTTGGATGGTGGGTAACTTATGAATGTGGCCCTTCCTTGTATGAAATTCCCATCTGTTTAATGTGCAGTTCTTCTCTGTGATTTGCTGAGCATAATTCATCAGGTAAAAGTTCTACATTGCCAATTCATTTCGTCCCTGGCTTCTTCCCCTTAATTATTCATGCAAAGGATGACATAACCCAAATTGCTAAAGGTAAGCCGATATTACAATATGAAGAGTTTTACTCAGAGAAAAAGGGGGAGCATGTATGACACATGAAAAATCAGAGAAATATCACATGAAACTACAGTAGGTATTGAAGAATCAATATATGAAATGTTAATGAATTTGAAAGAAATTGTATTGAGAAACAATATGTATGGAACTTAGAACACGTCTATTTGTGTCAAAGGTCCTGAATGTAATTGCTCAAGACATCATTTTATCACCATCTTGGGAAATTGTTGATAATACACAACATATGTCTAATGTAACAGAACTTGTTAGTTTGTGTAATTAAAAATTGAGAGGATTCCATTAAAAACACTATAAAACTTTCAAGACTGAACTTATCCTATAGATGATATATTCATGGCAGTTTGGTATGTAAATCGTAGTATTCATTTTTAAGTGAGTGGGAATTAAGAACAAGATATCCTCTTTCTTGAAATATGAAAAATTGAAGTATAACTCTTAATGAAGCACTTCCATGTTCCCTCATCCAATTCATAACTCCCTTGACCCTTCCACTCCCTCTCCGCACCACTCTTGCTAATTATGTGGTCTGCAACATATTAGGTGAATTGATTAATATTTTATTGCCCTTGATTTATTACAATGGATATGACTCTGAATAAACGAATATCTATTTTAGATGGAATAAGATTCTCTTTGAAAAGTAATTTTGTTTCATCTGTAGAGCTTGAAGAATTCCAATAGGACAGGTGGATTCAGGTCCAGTACACTGTTGGATCCCTGCAGATATTTTTTTTCTAATCATACAATCATGATATTAATTAAAATTGTATTAGTTTCAATATTGCACTGAACTGTTTATCATTAGAGTAGCTTGTTAGTCATTAATTCTGCTTCAATAATTTGGTCCCTAAATTGAAATAACTCGATGTACATTGTTGTTGGTCGTGTTTTGGTCATTAGGGTTTTATTTATTATTATTAACAAAATCTCTGAACTTGTTGCAGGTCAAGAAGCGCCACACACCATTGCTGAAGGTTTGAAAATCTTTCACTATTTTGTACTTTAATTGGATGTATTTTGAACGACGTAGGAGTTAGTTTGAACGACAGTGGAGTTAGTTTCTTTCACAAAATTGTTTGTGGCAGCATGGTGCCATCAATAATAATATAGTCATATACGTGTTAATGCTTACTACTTGTGGTTGCAGGTTAAATCATATGCGGACAACTTTAAATGGAAGGGCTCACCCAAACCTGCTGAAGAGTGATTACTTGGTTTGTATTCATGTTAATGTGTTCCGGCTTCAGGAGTTTCAACATGCAGCAGTTTTCTCTGCACCTTTTCTTGGAAAATGAAAGTTTTATGTGAATTACTTTGTGAAAATAAAATGGAACTGATCTGTCATTGGCTTAGTTTTCCTCTATGATGTAGATACTGCATCTATTTATGATTGATTCGGTCTACTATCTTAACTTTCCTTAACGAACTGTTTGCAAGAAAAACTGATCCAACATTGGCTGCTGCCTTTGGGCAACAGTTTTTTATATTCTTGAGAGTACTAAACAAAATGGCCCAATTTTTATATTATTTTTATAAAGTATGATCTAACTGTTTATAAAAAAATGTATTAATGGGTATTTTATTTTAAGCTATTTCGTTTTTTATTGAATAAGCGTGTTACTTTTGATATGCACAAAATTATCCTGAGATATTAGTCTGCCCTTAGATAAGATTAATCTTATCTCTATACCAAGGTGTGGGTGCAATGCTCTCTAGTAATTTTGGGACGGAGGGTCTGAGCAAAGGTAAATCAGGTTAAAAATTTTATCTTAACCAAACGAATTGGTGTTTATTTGTTTCTAAGTTTTGCAAAATTGATTTTAAACATCTATTTTAAGTGCGATTGAGATGTGTTCTTAAATTAATCTCAAATACCTATTGATTTCTACTTGTAATAAAAAAGTCCCAAATTGGATTCTATGGGTAAAGTTTGGCATAATCTTTTTGATGAGATAAAAAATTTAAATTAAAGACTGCATTTTAGAATTAGGGATTGGGTTAAAGATGGGGGAATGGCATGAAAAACTTTCTTTAAATCAAGATATATTATTTTCTAAATCAGAGTTTTATGTCTTGTTAGAATGTTTTTTATTCATCAAGAAAGATAAAAAATATTGTATAAGTCAAATATACTATATAAGATATGGGAAGAGAACGAAAAAACATGAAAAATTATATAAATTTACTCTCTTTATGAGATTTAAATTTAGTTGTTTAACCACCCCAATTATATCAATCCACAAACTCTTCAAATTTTATAAGAAATTCATTAAACAAAAAAACAAAAAAAATTACAATACACAACTCTTAATTTTACAATATCTAAACACTACACTTTCAAATCCAATCACAAACAATATTGTTGACAATCTTAGTCAAGATTAAACACATTTTGATCTTAAATCCTACAAAATCTCTTATTATCACTTGTTAAACATGATCACAAATAACACTTTGAACCCCTTAGTTAATAAGAGAAACCCAAGATATAAAAGAATAGGAGATGAGATCATTTAGACACATTTTGATACAAGAAGAAATACAAAGATAATTTACAATGATTAACTTAATATTTGATCTTCATGCAAATGATTTTCTAGTCATTTATGGAGTGTTTTTTTTTTTAAATATATAATTTTTCACTAATGTTTGAAATGATTTAGAACTTATTCCATAATAATATGAGAAAATACATTTGTATAAGCTAACAAATTTAATATATTAAAAATAAATTAAATTCATTAAGTCTGGTATGTTGTTGCAACGTTAAACAGCATTTTTAATATGTTAAAATTATTAAAATAAGTACTTTTAAGTTATTTTAGTTAATTAAAAAGTTATTTAAATTAACTATATAGTCAAATTCTAAAATTGGTAAAACTAATAGATTGAAATAATTTTTAATCAATTAAAACTTTTCATTGCAAACATAACAAATTTAAGAACATTTAATACATTTGGATGATTTTAACATTAAAATAGTACAACACGCTTCAGATAAGGCTTCAACATTTAAAAATGGATCAAAGATAATGAAACCAGTTACGACATTTATAATTCTCAAATTAAACTCTAACAAAAGATATCATTATCACTTGTATCATCGTCATAATGATTGGATTCATCCAATCCTTAAGTTTCATATTTCATGCTTCAAGCCTGTATTTCAACACTACTCATACCATGAGCTTTGACTTTGAAGTCTGGGATTCATCGTCATCAATTCAAACTTGATATGTAGGAGTGATTTTCACGTGGACCCATATAAAAAAATGTTTATCAAGACTTGATTTGTGAGGAAGACAATAGTTTAGATCCACTAATTGCAAATATTTGAGAATGTAAAATGCTGGGCTCTATCTCTGTATGTTTTTTTTTCTCTTCATACATGAAATAACATAAAAGTACCGACTTTTTTCTTCTCCATAGTTGTTTCTCATCTTTATGGTCCACTTTTGCGGAACTGTGAGCCAATTCATTTTAAACTTGAACCATCCCCATAATATAGATGTATCAAATAAGTTTGTCAATAGATGTCGATTTTTCGACACAATCGATTATCACAAAATTAGTTTGGCATGTTATAACACGAAATTACTCAAACTTTTTATAAATTAAAATTGAAATTTCCGTAATTTAATAAAATATTTTTAAAGGACAAAATTACACAAATATATTTGCTACACACACACACACACACACACACACACTACTATATATATATATATATATATATATATATATATATATATATATATATATATAATGTTTATCAAATCCATCATATATAGCTATAAATTTGTCAGTCATTTATACTCTATTTTCATTTCTTTTCCACGTTTTTTCTAATCAAAATAATTTTATTTTCACTCGATTTTTTTCCTCTTCCTCTCTTTACATCACCCAATTCAATAAAAGGATAAATGTTGTATTTGAAGTAATAATGATAACGACATGCATGGAATGTTTTTTATACATACAACTGGTTTGTTTTATACATGCAAGTGTATTACATTGCTGCTTTGTTTGATAAAGAAAAGTAAAATAAGTTGTAAATAAATTAATAGAGTATAAATAAATGAGAAATAAAGTAAAAATTGGACGTGTTAATTGAAGAGAATATAAAAAAGAATAGAGATACATTAGTGAGAATAATACACTAAATTTCATCATTTCTTAAAATTACTTATTTTTTCATTCGCTTCCACCAAACGCTATATTTTTCACCCTTTCCCATATTTACCCAGGTTTAGACCAATTTTAACTTTTAAAACATTATTTTCTTTTCTTTTAGTGCTTAAGAATTAACTTATTTAAGATAGTTCTTATGCACCAATTAAAATCAACTTTTAAAAAAAATTAAATCACTTATCTTCTAAAAAAATTGATTTTAATTAATGTATAAGTTATTTTAATTAATAAAAAAAAAAACTTTTCTTTTTCTTATAGAGAAACTTGCCCAACCAAAACCAATCTACAAATTTGATATTTAACATTATATAATTATAAGCCACTTAGTAGTTTAATGTATAGACAAAGGAAACAATGAAGTTCAATTACAGACCTGAATACTCTTTTCATCATTCTTTACAAGAAAACATAAAAACACATGAATAAAACTAATCGAATAGTACAAGAATCCCACATAAATGATTGCACAGTCTCCTTTGTTTTCAAAATGATGCTGATGATGATTGTACTCTGCTGAATTCCTATAGCATATATTGTGTGCTTGCCTGCGGTTGATACCACCGGACTGCTATAATAATATTAAGGGTTATGATATTTTCACAACTATTTTTATTTTTAAATTTTTATTTTTAAATTTTTATATTATTATTTATTTATCTTACTCCATTCTCTTTATCAATAAAAAAAATATATTTTAAGATTGTCTATAAAATATTTAAAAAAATTGGGTGGCAAAAAAACTTTTCCCTAATACTAATCCTTATACTATTACAACAAATATGCACCCTTTCACTTTCAGCAATGGATATGTCAGATCGACAGCAGCCAGAGACTTCCCATTTATGTGCCATGGATGGTTAAGTCTCTATTTTATAAAGCTCCAAGAGCCCTAGTATTGAACTTTGTCAATCCTGCTTTATTTAATTGCCTCTCTTCATTATTCACTTGTGTTAATTTCTTTATCTTAATTCACATCAGATACAAAAGAACAATCAGTCCATGTATATGTAACAACTAGCAAATCAATATTCACTAATTGATTTACGGGAGAAAAAGCTCAAAATCTGGAAATTAAATAATAATAAATAACATAAAACTGGGAGGTAGAAAACTTGTCATAGCTATTGATTTTCCAGCAACCATATAATTATGAGATTATTACCTACAATCTAAGAAAATGGCAAACACCTTATCTAACCAACCTTTCCCCGGTGAAAAAAGATATGCTAATGGGAAGTAAAGTTGCTACCAAAAGTAATTCCACTCTTATTGGGTAGAAGCTTCTTCCTGTAATACTTGGAGTTGCGGGATAGATTAATCATTTTCCTTTTCTTCTCAGGTATAAAATCAATTGAACATTCTGAAAATCCTCGCCTCACAAACCTGTCAATACATTAGAATCCATGTCTTTATAAAAGCATTTATGGAGTTAACAAACCACATGCAGCATCCAATAATAGATACAATATGCAGTAAGTAACACTCCACTGAAAGCTAAAAATGACGTTGATTCTAGATAAATATATTAACCAATACTTGATGTGCAAGGTATATACCAATCTGCTGTACGAGTTGTAAGCAAGAAAAGCATTTCAAATCCAAGATATGATGCCTTCTTCTCTATATAATCTGTTACATTGGATAATAACATTAAACAGATACAGTCAAGACACAAGATAAATACTATAGAGTGAAAATACCCAAACATTATAATCAAACAGTTGCTAAAAAATGACACACTGAGTAGACTTCACACTACCCCGTAAAAGTAGTTTCAGGATGAAATCAGAAATAATTTTTCCCGTTAAAATTGTCATGGTCTGATATAGAATATTTGTAAACAATTTCTGATACAAGGAGAATTGTATAAAGAACTAGTCAACAACTGAAGGTATACAAGTGCCTATCTGCCTAGTAGGATTATTCACTACTTTTTGAAGCCAACATAAGAAAAAAGAAGTAAAAGGAAGAGGAGTCAGTGGTTTTATTCTTTTAGATTGAATACCTCAGTAATATCAAGAAGATGAATGTGTTATGAATATGTGTTGACATTTGCTACCCTGACAAATGAACTTCCCAAAACATATGGACTAAAAACCATGTTTTCAAAATCAAATTAGTGATTGAATGGGCAAAGTGAGAAATTCAACGTTAATCATGGTTTAATATGAGTACATATATAAACGTAGGTATGTAGCAAAATGTTAGAAAAATATAATGCACATTAGTGTATAAAAAAAAAAAAAAGTGAGTTATGTTACATAAATTAACCATGCACTGTATGAAAGTATTAACAACTTCATATAAATTTATAATACTTCAATTTTATTACTTGATTCCATGGTATGTATGACTTCCTGTTTAATTTGTTTAACAGTTTAACTCATAAAACAACATCAAATATTAAATGTGCATCAAAAGTAAAGTCACACTTGGCATAGCAATTCGAGAGATGCTTAAAAAAGTGTTGGTTTTATGTAATCGTACTTCCTCTCCAATAGTTCAGGCTTTCATCACAATAATATAACCTTGGAAAGGTTGAACCTGTTTAAGCTTAACCATGAACAGTTTGGACAGTTCAGTACTGATTCATGAGTTCAGTAGCCTGGTATCAGAAAGACAGTTTCAGGAACCCTAACCAACCACAGGTCCGAAGTTTGAATCTTCATTTCCTCTCTTTTGGTTTCAACACAGCAACATTAACCTTGGACTGGTTGAACCTGTCAAACCATGTGCAGTTTCATGGTCTTGACAGTTTTTAAAATGTCTATAGGCATTTTTAGAATGTCAGTTTTAGAGGTTTTAATCAGATCAGTTCACATTTAACTTCGTCCAGTTGGTCAGTCTGGTCTGGGACTCTGGGTTTAAAACGGTGCTGAAATATGAGAGCAAAAGTAGTTGTTGAAATAGTAGAAGTAGAAATACAAAAATTGGTCCCTCCTACTGTAGTGAAACAATATGATCCTTTCTGAGTATCAAAAATAAAAGACTATGAAAACTTTGAAAGAGTCCTTAAATCCCTAATACCATGTTGGGAATTTCTGTAGAAACACTGTAAATGAATGGAAATTTGAAATGGAAGGTAAAGACTTGAAGACACTAAAGGAACAAATTGATAAGAGAAGCAAAGGGGAACTGCAGTCATTAATCGAAGTTTCAAATCTTTTTATTAATGTTACTCTATGAAAAGCTCTCTGCAAGAAACATAGTTTCAAGTCATTTAATACAAGTCAGAGTAAACAACAATAAATCACCATGGAATTTCAATATATTCCATAAATATTTAATCAATGGTTCTCTATCAATTAAGAACAAGATTGACAATCCACAAAGGCAATAAATAGCATTATCATACCAAGTAATTTGTCTCCCTGTCCTTGGCCTCTACAATCAGGGGATACTGCAATTGCAGCAACCTCTGCACACTTCTCCTCAAAAAAAGGAAAAAGTGCGGCGCAAGCAATTATTTGACCTTCTCTTTCCACAACAATGAAGGACCCTAGTGATCGAAGCAGCTACAAACAGATAGTGGTCAAATGTACAGGACTACGTACGGAAAACACTAGTAATGGCTATAATGTAGCCTCTACAATAGCTATGAAGAAAATCTCAAGCAAAGTGAGCAAACCTCTTCGTCAGTCCGCTTAACCAATACGCCAGACTCCTCTAAAGGCTGGATAAGTTGTTTTATTCCAGAAATATCTGTTACTTGAGCCATCCGGGTGCCTTCATAAAGGTCACTGCAAAATTAATTGAAGGCAAGCAAACGAAGATAAAAAGGTTTAGAGAAATATAACTATATAAGAAAAGAAAAGAAAAAGAAATCAATCATCTATAACACCATAAAAAATCTACCACATGCTAGTAGGCAGCATCAGCAATGGAAACCCCATGAACATCATTTTGGTACTAATTTATTTTTGGGGTTTGAAAATAAAAGCAAGCAAAATATCTATCAAGGGTGTGACATATGGTCATGGGATGGTAGGATTCGACCAGTTTGTTCTCTTTATTTATAGCCAGTTATTTGAAATAACTCTCTATTTTTTTTGTAATCAATGGTTTTCTTAAAACTAAAACATGAGAATGATTGCAAATGTTCTAGGAATCCTCTCAGACTTCCAGTTGTTCTGCATAAGTCATTTTTATTATGTTTCACTTAGTGAGCCTTGTACGGGCTCGGCACTTCTGTTTTCTTCTTTCTCGCTGAGCGTTCTAGAGTGGGACTGAGCGCGGGTTTCTATTTTCTGTTTCCCTTTTCTTTCTGCCTCTATACAACTCTAATCTCTCTAAGGTCTTGGTGCATCTTACATAATAAGAATCGTTTTCCCTTTACATATCTTCCCTTTCTTTCTTAGTTTTTTTCCCTTGTTGTTTTTGTTTCTTTTCATCATACCTGCACCCTTGTTCTGCATCATTTCCTTTCTCCCTTGCAGATATATTTTCCAATGTTTTGAAGAATCAAGAGGATAGCAACATCAAATCAAGGGATCCAAATCAAATATTTGCATCTTTCAATCTCAACAAACATTCATGTAATCTAACCATCAACTCATCATAGACAACTACAAACAAGTTTGAATCTCACTGGTATAACCAATGTGATGACTCTAGCAGGAAATCCACAGGGATCCAAACTAAAATTATGATTTATTAACATTAATAATTGAAATAAAATCAAGAAAGAGAACAATTGGTTGAATGAGTGAAGGATACAACTTACCATATATTACTGTTACACTCACCAATTAGTTACCAAGTGATAGAGAAAATGTTTCATAATAATAACAAAAAAAATCCACAGATAGACAAAATTTGCCTACCTAGCCACCATTGTCCCCATCCCATCTCTCTTGAACAATTCTAACAATAGAACTCCACTAATAGTGCCATCCAACAAATGAACTCTTTGAACACCGCCCTGACAGACAGAAGAAGTTATATTTAGCTACATATAACTGGGATTTCAAGAAATGCCATCCTATTTGAAAAAGCAACTTCTCAAGGAATTTCAGTATAATTATGAAGTGACAGGAAAAATAATTGGCAAAAACAGGTAGTTTGTAAAAAGAAAAAATAGTTACATTGAGGTCATTATATTTATAAAAATCAGTCACTTGACAAATCTTTAAAAACTACTTGGGTTTGTTCAAAATAATGAAACAAATCTGACTCCCATAACTAAACAGTCAAGAGGCAATAAAAATAAAAATTTAGGACTGTCAGTGACTGAAGATGCTAAAGCAATTTAGACCTAAATTACCAATGGCAAGAAGGAAAAGTTGAACCATCAACTCACTCTGCAAACGAAGGCTGCAGCAGCCAGCTCTGACAGGTAACCATTCATTCGACTTAGTGACTCCTGACCTCCTATAGCAAAACCTTGCTCCCCAGACCAAAGGCCATTGCCATTGTCAAAACCAACACCGTTATGAAATGTTGCATCATGACATTCTGACAATGTTTTTCCATTCTGTGGAGAATGGACTGTCCCATTAAAATTTGTAAGAGTTTTGAAACTTTCTTCCGCAATAGCTTTCACATAGTTTGCAGCTGTTTCACTTTGTTCAACCCGTTTACGAATTAGCATGTCTGCCTCTTGAAGAGTCAAAAAGCGAATAAGGTGTCCATTTTCGTCCAGTATTGGACCATCTATAATGCATATAAGCTTGTCTGCTCCTATGGCCAAGGCACAAGCTGTTGCAACTTCATAGGTACTGTGGAAAGCAAATCATCAGTATCCATTACTAAAGCAATTTTTTCCTCTGCTGGATCACATCCAAGTACAATATAGAAACATTCAAGAGAAAATAAATTGAACACATTGACATGGGTGTATATCTGATACAATATATAAAATGGTTATGTAAAAACTTGTATCACTATTTCCTCGGTATTTGTTTTCACATTCCACGAGAGGTCAAGTTCTGTAATAAACTATTTTGCATACTAAATAACTGAATAAAACTTTGTAAATGTATTTTTTATTGTTGAAACCAACTTTCCATGATTTTATTTTAACACATTCTCCATGAAGCCCGTTTCTTCCAATCTATGTATAACTCCAAAATATTATAATATTCTCCAAGGTATAAGAAACATAATTGATGATAGATAGCGAGCTTCTTCAGTAATGGGGTTTGGGGATGGTAAAATCTACACAGCCTTACTCACTTGAGAGGGGAGGCTGAACCACAACTAGAACCTTTGACCTAGTCACAAGGCAACAACCTCACCATTGTTCCACAGCTGACCTCCCAATTGAAAATATGAACGACATAAAATATTGAGGCTTTCTACAATAGCCAAATAATAATAGACCATGAGTAAAAACTATTGCTGATAAAAAATCATAAATTACAAACATTTTTTATAACAACTGAATATATATGTGAGGAAGCAATCAAGAAGGACCAAGTTGTAAAAAGTAATTATCAGAGGCTCTAAACCATACTTGCAATTTAATACTTGTCCAGAGCTGGAGTAGCCCAAGTTGCTTAAAATAACAATGCAGTTGCCATCGAGCCTCTCACACATGCGAGAAATATCTACTTTTTTAACCTCTCCAGTCGACCCAAAATCAACTCCTTTGACAACACCTCTTCTCTGCCAAACAAAATTTTTAAAAAGACTTCGTCTAAAACAGTGACAGAAGCAGAAAACAGAAAGACAAAAAAAAAAAAAAACAGAGACAACATTGGAATCTCATTGTTATAGCAACAACAGAACAAGGGAATTGAAAGAAGCCAATTTCTCCAAATAGTATGAAGAAAATTGAATCACAGAATTCAAACCTTGGCTGCAAGAAAGTTCCCGCTCGCTACACTGACACCAACTTCATGCAAACGGCTATTGTCACCATGTCGACGAATATTGTAAATGGAGGGTCCAGGAGAAAGCTTGGCTTCAATCATCAATCTTATTCTCCCAGCTGCTTCCATTGCAGCTGCCAGAGACTCATCATCAGTTACCCTATATGGACCAACGTACTTAGGTTCTCTCCCTACACAAAATAGCAACATCATTAATCAATGCTCATGTACACTAGCTAAAATTTCATTTCTCTCTTGTGGGATTGGCAAATATCAATTAACACAAGATCATAAAAATTAGTCATTTTCACTACATTGAGAAAACTAGCCACTAGCACCCATTCATATTCAAACCATGATTTCATTTCCCTGTGATGCAAGTATGACTGACCTCTCTCACGCAAAAGATTGTCAATTTGCACATGGGTCCCCGGAACAATAACAAACCGGATTCCCAGGTGATGAAGAAAGGCTATATCCTGCACGTACATTACATTGCTAAGTATAGGATTAATCTAGAAGAAATTTCCTTTTTTAAAAAAATATATATAATTAATTTAACAATTTTATTATAGTTAAATTCTGGAAAGGAGAGTTTCATCATCCTACCCAAGATTATTTGCCTGAGAGAAATTATTACACGACCCAGGACCATCATAGTCTCAACTAATCTCTCCATTACACCCTTTATTAATTCTTTTTCAAAATGAAAAAAAAATTGAAGAACCAATCACACAGAAACTGATTAAGATCATAAACATGTCTCGATCCCAGACTATCTAAGAATTTCTCTTACATATACCTGTGTACATTCAAGAAAATAATTCGCTACATTTATCTGTGTCTGAATGAGCCAATAAAATTTTAAAAAATTGAAATATTTGGAGGTGCCTTGAGAATTGGATCCAAATAAGGACTAGAGACAATTTCTCCGGAGACGATGACGACGAAGGTGGCACCACGGTGGGCCCACAAGTACGGCCACGTCTCACGAAACCAACGCACGAATTGCTTATCGTCCATGGAGCTGCTATAACCCTCCTCTTCCGCCACGCTTCCGATCAGTTCCTCGCTGAACACGTTGCAGCGTTCGCATGTTGAGGTTGGGACTCTGGTCAAAGATAAGGGGTTACTTGGCTTCGATTTTGAGGTGCAAGGGCGTAAATTGAGTTGCTGAGGGTGGAAATTGACTCTGTGGGATGAAAATTTGGGAAGGTTTGGAAGGGATGTGCGAGAGGTGGAAGACAAAGCCGCCATGGGACTGTTGTTTTGCGTCACAACAGAAAAGAGAAATCCCAGGTTGCTCCTGGTTTGGCTCTGTCTGTCTCACAAACGATTAACTACGTTCTAAGGATACTGAACAGAGATTTTTACCATGATAGTAGTTATGGCTCTTTATTTTATTGGATTTTATTATAAGAATTTTGTTAACACACCACTGATACCATACTATATTTTAAGAAAAGAGTAAATATTCTACGCATTTTCAGGCTAAAAAAAATTATATTCTCATCTAATCGTATAACCTTTTAAAACTCAAAATACTGTGATTTTTTTATTGAATAGCAACTTCAAATTTTCCACATTAAAAATATACTATTTCTATTTTTTTATATAAAAATAAGAAATTAGTGAAAAATTTTGCTTTACAATAATCAATAATATGTTTTTTTAAAATATATATCTAGGTCAGTTTATTTACAAATATAAACCGATTTATTCTTCAAACCTAGTTTTTAATATTTCTCCTCATAATTTTTTTTTTCGTTATTCACTCGTTTATTTTCTATCTCATAATCAATTTTATAAATAATATATTTTTAAATTAATTATTTAAATAAAATCTCTATTGATTTATGTATTACTTAGATGAAGTTTCTTTTCTCTCTCCTTATCATTTTTTTCTCACTTCATTTATTTATTATTTTTCTCTTTTCTATCTCACTTTTTTTCTCTGCTTACTCATATATTCTTCTAATTAAACTATTATATTCATTTTTAACAAAAACATATTAAATTTTTGAAAAAATATCAATTAATTATTTAAAATCATGATAAAAAAATATTTTTATTTATTATGATAATAAATAATTTTATTTATGATAATGTAAATAATTAATTTAAAATGATTTTATTATAATAAATCAATTACTCATCTAATTAAAAAAAACATCTAATTAAAAAATATCAAATATTTATAAGTTAAATATTTTTTATTTAATAATTTAATCTAATTTAAGCGATGATGATTAGTTAAGTAATTTAAAAAATATATATTAAAAAAATATTTCAAACGAAATATTTAATTTTCTTAATAATAAAACAGACTTATTTTATCAAATTTTAATCTAATAATTTTAATAAAAAAAGATAGAATTGGAGAAGAAAAAAATATCATCTTTTGGAGTTATATATATATATATATATATATATATATATATATATATATATATATATATATATATATATATATAATCTAAATATGTTAATTAAGTTTCTTGATTTCTTATGAAAAAATTCATTTTCTAAAATATTCTTAAAAGTACTTGTTAAAGATAATATTCACATCTCCAGTTATCTTAAGAGTCTTTTTCCGATAATGACATTAAATAGAGTTGAACTAGTTGATAATTTTACTTATATTTCAATCCACTACAATATTTTTCTGATATTTAAGTTTTGAGGAGTATCACTCATTTCTCATCAAATTAAATCTATTTAATGACATATTAATAATACAAGGTGAAAAAAAAATAGTAGTGTCATTATATCTAACAACTACTTAAACCCATTAATTCTAAGAATATTTATTGAACAAAATTTAAATAATAACATTTATAATTAAAATAAACTAATTTAATAATTTTTATTGATCTTGATATATTATGCATTTATTTTTATATATAAGACCAAAAATAGTATTAAAATATTTATTTTAGAAAAGTGTGTATTCTTTTAGTTTATAAAAACATTAATGTACTCACTTATTTTATAAAATAAGTATTTTAATAAATTGCAACTTAAATATATTTTAACAAAGCTTAATTTATAACTTATTAAAAGTAATCGTTGAGTCAATTTACATAAACAAATATATTCTGAAAATTAACTCTCAACACTGATATTGAAAATCTACAACTGATAATTATATTAAAAATATTCATTGTATTAAGAAAAATATTAGATGTTTAAAATTAATTCTAAAAAAACAGTATTTTTCCTTTTTTACATGAAGTGTCTGCCACTTTATTAAAACGCAATTCATCACACATAATCTATTGTTCTAATAATAATTCTGCTGCATTTTTTTTAATAAGTGGATGAATATCTGAATGAAATTTTGAATTATTATATGCAACTTTATCTTTTCTCCCACACACACACACACACACTTTTTTACATGAAGTGCCTGCCACTTTATTAAAACGCAATTCATCACACATAATCTATTGTTTTAATAATAATTCTGCTGCATTTTTTTTAATAAGTGGATGAATATCTGAATGAAATTTCGAATTATTATATTCAACTTTATCTTTTCTCACACACACAAACACACACGCGCACACGTGTACGTACGCACACACATTAAAAATAAACTCATCATAAACTTCTTTGTACAATATTTACATGTAAACATTGTTCAGTTAGGCTATACATGCTATACATGGTTAATTGGTTTAAACAGATGAACTTGTCGACCAACCTAAATATATTGTTCAATTAATTTTATTTTTTCTATATTTTAATTCAGTTATTTGTTTATTTCTATTAATTTTATGTTTGATATATTGGCAAAATTTAGGTCATGTATATATATGATACATAATTTAAATGTGTTAGGGTCATTGTTTATTAAGTCAAATAATAAAGTGATATGATTAAATTAAAGTTTTGGCTAAAGACATATGTCATGAAAATAAAATTGTGTAGAGACCATTGAGCAATTTTTAATTTGATGAGGGGCCAAATTGAAAATATTAAAACTTAAGTAATTAACCTAATTCTGGTTATTTTAATGGGTCGTGGTCCCCTTCTGGGAGCACACAGACAGAACGTAAGTTTCATTCCTGTTCCTTTCTTTCTATCCTCATCAAGAGAAAAAATCAAGAGGAAAATACAAGTGCTCAGGTGAAAGATCATAAGATCAATATAGTGCTCTACAAAGACATCATCATTATGGCTAATTCAGGTACGCTTTCGCATTCAGTTTACAACATGTTTATCAGTATGGGATTACGTTTATGTTTGATCGTTAGAATCGAAATCAGGATTATTATTATTATTATTATTAATTTTTCCAATAATTGGTATCAGAGTCGCCCATATTTGATTCATGTCTGTTTAATTTATAGAACCCTAATTATGAAAATTAGGATTAATTTTGTTTTAAACAATTCAAATTACCCAACTTTATGAACCCTAAGTGAAGAATAATATCTAATTTTCGTGAACCCTAAAATTTAAATTTGGGGGTAACATCCCCAATCTAATTCTGCTTGTTGATGGAACCGTGCAGGAAGTTATGAATTCTTCTTCTTCTTCATTTTTCTCTTTTGTTTCAGTTTAAGTTTCAAGTTTTACTGAAAAATAAATAATGTTTCAAATTTCAATATTTCTTATATTGGGTTCTCTGTTCTATTTGAATATTTTGTTTTTGTTTTTATTTAATTTTATGGGTTTGGAATTGGGGGTGGTGTTTGTGGAGTTCCCAACACAGAGAATATTAGGTAAATGATGAATGTTTCCACAGGTGTGACTGTTTTTTTTTAGAAAAATTTGATGTTAAATTCCCTGTTTAGGGTTTGAGTAATTACTGTTTAATCCCTTTTAGGGTTTAGAGCGATATACTAAAGAGACTTGAACTATCTCTGTTTCATCCCTAGTATGATTTTAGTGAGATGTTCATCCTTTATGTATTCGTGGAAAATGAGGTCTTTTTTTATCCTTTGATTTGTTCAAATGAGGTGTTCATCCTTAGTAGAATTTTAATGAGGTGATTCTCTTTTGAATTAATTTTCAAATATTAAATATTTGGTTTTGTTATATAAATAAAATATTCAATTTTTTGGTAGTTTAATATTTTTTGTGAACAAATTGAGTCAAGAAGTCACCAAAGTAACCTCTCTTGAATTGGGCAGTTCATGAAAAATATTGAATGTTAGTGTTTGTGTATATCCATGCGAGTATTAATCGGCTTAAAGGAAGATTAATATTTGGTCGAATTGCATACGCACTTGTAATGATAAACATGTGATAATTATAAGGATTTGTTTTGTCGATGATAAATCAATCCAAAGACTGGTTTGTTGTTGGACGTGCTTTATTGTCAATGTTTGATTATTACAACAAGATACCTCTAGCGAGATAATATTACTCGTCCAAAGACTTGATATTGATGGTGCATTGGGTGTCTTGAGATGGGTTAAACTACTATTTGAATATATATTATTTATTTTTTATATAATGTGAGCATAATTAGTTTATTTCTCGTGTTCTAAATTCAGACTTCAATTGTTTCTCGTATCCGCCAATTTAAATTGCATTCCGGTCCTCAATGGAACAAATTTTAAGGACTTGGAAAGAGAACATTGATATTATTCTTGATTGCATGGATATGGATCTTGCGTTAAGGACTGAGCAAACCCCTTACTCCTATGGATTCAAGTACCTCTGAACAGAAAAAAGATTATGAGAAGTGGGATCGCTCAAATCGCATGAGTCTAATGATCCTTAAGCGCGGCATCCCGGAGGTGTTTAGGGGCACTGTTTCTGAAAACATCACAAGTGTCAAAGAATTCCTTGCTGAAATTGAGCAGCACTTTGCAAAAAGCGATAAGGCGGAGGTAAGCACTCTTCTTCAGAACTTGATTTCCATGAAATATCAGGGTAAAGGAAATATCAGGGAGTACATTATGAGCATGTCTAATATTGTTTTTAAACTCAAGGCACTAAAGTCTGAACTCTCAGAAGACTTGCTCATTCATTTGGTGTTGATTTCTCTTCTTGCAATGTTTAATCAATTTAAGGTATCTTACAACTATCAGAAGGATAAATGGTCTCTTAATGAGCTCATTTCACATTGCGTACAAGAAGAGGAAAGACTAAAGCAAGACAAGAAAGAAAGTGTTCATTTTGCAAGCACCCATTAAGGGCAAAAGAAAGAGATCAAAGGATCTCGAGAAAGAAGTTGCTAAGGGTCCAGAACAAAAGAAACAAACTCAAGAAAACAAATGTTTCTTTTACAATAAGACTGAACACATAAAGAAAAAATGTGATAAATATCATGCTTGGCGTGAAAAGAAAGGGTTACCTAAACTACCGGAAGCCAATTGATTCTGAAAGATGAATTTATGTTGGAGATGACAAATCGGTAGAGGTGGAAGCTATATGACATTTTAAATTGTTATTGAGTACTGGTTTTTTATTTGGATTTGAAAGACACTTTTGTTGTGCCGTCATTTAGACGGAATTTGGTTTCAGTTTCTTATTTAGACAAATTAGGTTATTTGTGTTCATTTGGAAACAATAAGTTCAATTTGTCTTTTAATTCAGATATTGTTGGAACGGATTCACTTTTGATTTATGATAATCAGTATTTACTTGATATTGTGGTTACCTATAATGAAACCCTTAATACAGAATCACGTGGTACTAAACGTAAAATTAAAAATACTCACTCAGGTGCATTATGACACAAGTACTCAGGTCACAATCAAATCGTGACTTTTGGGCTTGTGTTACACTCTTAAAGATATGGTAGAGAGTATGATTTGTCATTCCACCTTACTGGAATCACTTTGGGGAGAGACACTAAATACGACAACTTATATTCTAAACAGAGTACCAACTAAAGCAGCTACCAAAACACCTTATGAGCTTTGGATTGGGCGACAACTTAGTCTGAAGCATTTCCATGTGTGGGATTGTCCAGCTGAGGCAAGACCTTATAAGCCAAATAAAAAGAAATTGAACTCCCGAATAGTAAGTAATTATTTTATTGGTTATGCTAAAAGATCAAGGAGATATAAATTTTATGATCCCACATTAAAGATAATTTTTGAGACGGGAATTGCTACGTTCTTTGAGGATATTGAGTTTGGGGGGAAGAATAAAATTAAGAACTTCATCTTGGAGGAAGAATCGGTAACAATTTCAGAACCGATTCAAATAGTTACTTTTGATAAAGTAAGTTCGGAACCTCACAAGGCATTGTTGATGAACCCCTTACTCAAGATGATTTGGTTGTTCATGAAGAACAAACTCAAGATCCTCAAGAACCTGTGCATCATGAGCTAATAACTTTGCAGATATCCACTAGAGAAAGAAGAAGTGCTATTTTGGATGATTACATGGTATTTCTTCAGGAACATGAGAAAAATAATGATATAATGGAAGATGACCTAGTTAACTTCCGTCAAGCTATACAAGGTTCTAACTCTCAAAAGTGGATTGAAGCAATAAGATAAGTATAAGTCCATGCAAGACAATAAGGTTTGGGAACTTGTCCCATTACCAGAAGGTATGAAACTCATTTGGCTTCAAGATGAGTATTGTGGATGATTGTGTGTATTACAAGTTTAAAGGGAGACAAGTTTAGTCTCAATCAGTGCCCAAAGGGGAATTTGAAAATTAAGGAAATACAAAAGATTCCCTATGCATCAGTTGTAGGGAATTTGATCTATGTCCAAGTATGTACGCATCCAGACATAACATATATAGTTGGGGTTCTAGGCAGATATTTAAGTAATCCAAGAATAGATCATTGAAAAGCAGCAAAAAGAGTCATAAGATATTTAAAAAGAACAAAAGATTATATACTCACATATAGGAGGTCAGACCAGTTGGAGATCGCTGGATTTTCTGACTCAGATTTTGTAGGATGTCAAGAATTTGTAACATGTTATGAGACATCAAATCATGGAATATGACTGAGAAATTTTGTCACAGGACTGCAAATTGTGAAAGGCATTGAAATACCACTTAAGTTATATTGTGACAATAAATTAGCTGTATTGTTAAGGAAATAGTACAAAGTTGACAGATTTTCATAGAATACTTAAGGACAAACTTCATGATAGCATATCCTCTAACTAAAGGACTTCCGCCTAAGGTCTTTCATGAACATGTTGCTCACATGGGTGTTTTACAGTTTGAGGAATTTGTGGTTAAGGGAGTTAGTCACTTTCATATATTGTATGTTCTATGTTTAATTTCATATATGTATACATTGATTTTTGGACATATTTGGTTATTTATAGATATGCGGCTTTTTCGTTCATTCATTACACTTTGTACATTAAGGATATTATATCGATCTCGATAAGTTAAAGTTTGTACCAGTTGAAAATAGACGTGTACAGATCACCTTCACGTAATTTTCATGCTACACATTTCATGATGAATCCATGTCATTTGGTTATGTTAGGATGAGTAATCATTGTTGGTTTTAGTTGCGATGATGCAATAAAAAACTGGTTTGGTTCTATATCCTAATATGATTAATGGATAGGACTTTTGGAGTATGCTAAAGGAATATAATGACAATTTTGAGCTCATAAAGTCTAACACATTTGTAAGGTTGTAAGGACATATATATTTGTGACCAGTGGGAGATTGTTAGCAAAATTTGGATCATGTATATATATGATACATAATTTAAATGTGTTAGGATCATTATTTATTAAGCCAAATAATAAAGTGATCTAACTAAATTAAAGTTTTTGCTAAAAGCATATGTCATGAAAATAAAATTATATAGAGACCATTGAACAATTTCTAATTTGATGAGGGGTCAAATTAGAAATACTAAAACTTAAGTAATTAACCTAATTCTGATTATTTTAAGGGGTCGTGGTCCCCTTCTGAAAGCACACAGACAGAACGTAAGTTTCATTCTTATTCATTTCTTTCTATCCTTATCAAGAGAGAAAATTAAAAGGAAAATATAGGTACTCTTCGAGAAAAATATAGGTACTTTCTTGATACGCTTTCGCATTTAGTTTATAACATATTTATCAATATAAAATTATATTTATATTTGATCGTTAAAATCATATTTATCAGCATAAAATTATATTTATATTTGATAGTTAAAATATAAAAATAACCCTAGTTATTATTATTATTATTATTACTTTTTTCAACATGACGTGTTTTTTTATGCGTTCAACGGATCTTTCATTCATAGCAATTATTTCCTCGAGACAAGAGATTGACTTGAAGGCATGGGAAACATAGAAAGAAGACAATGACGCAAATTCCTTGATACCAAGCAAGACTCCTTAAAAATATCTCCGGAATTCAAGGAATATGACACCACCCAAAGATTCCTTCAATTGCACCTTCAAACTTTGAACACATGATTAAAGCTTTAACTTCACCGATAATTTGATTCTGACCTCGACGCGTTAAATAAATTTCAACCGAATGAAGAAATAAACTTTCTTTTAAAGTAAATAAGGACTGCAGTTTAAGAATTTCAACAAATTTTAATTGATCGCGTGAAATAAAAAAAAGTGTATTAGAGAGTTGGATGACTAGTATTTCTCCTGTTATGAAACAAAAAGTGTATGTTTGCATGCAAACTAGAAGAGGTTATTGTTGGAATGGAGTTATTTTGAAGTTGATGAGATGAGAGTGGGGAGAGATAAGTGGTACCTTGAGAGTGGCATCCAAACAAGGACTATCAACAATTTCCGCAGACAGGACAAGAACAAACACGGTCTTGATATGCGCAGACATGTAAGGTTGAACTTGGCGGAGAACCTTCACGAATTCTTCATCTGATTCCCCCGCCACGACACTGCTTTGCTCACACTCCCTGCATCTCCTCTCAAACCTTGACTCTCTCTTTTTTCTCATCTCTAACAACCTCCACCCAGAAGGGGAACCAAGCCTTACGCTTTGACCATAGTTGTGGAGCCACGTGAAAACCCATTTTTCCCCATGGCTTTTCAGAGACAAGGGTGGCTTCCAATAACCACACGCTCCCATTTTGCCTTCTCTTCTTCTTCCTTCTCTCCCACTTGATTGAAGGGAGCGAGAATTTCTGTTTCAGCCAAGAGTTCACATTTCTGCCAGATGATCACGAGAACTCAGTACGACACCCAAATAAACGCGTACCTCTGATCAAGGGAAGGACAAAGAAGAAGTGAATCATTCGGGAGCGACAAAGGCTAGATATGATGACGATAATAATAGCGAAAATAGATGCAATGTCTTTTCTATTTCTTTTTCTGTCTCAGTCTCTGCCCTGGCTATTTGTTTGTTTGCACCGAGCATCCCAAATTCCCATGTCGACACAAGGTGGCATCGACAGTTGCTAAGATATTTTCTGAAATTACTTACTGTTTTTTTTTTTTTTATTATTATTATTATTATTATTATTATTATTATTATTATTATTATCTTTACACTTATTATTACCCAACAAAAGTTAATAGTAATAGTTTTAAAATCATAAGTAATAATTTTAATAAATGAAAATATTTTACGTATGTGTAATTAAAAAATTAATTTAAAATTATACATGGTCTGTTAATTTGTCAAAATTAAACATTTTTTGTCCACTATTACATTCAATTGTTAATAGAAGAAGTTAACATATTTATTATAAAAAAATATTAACATATACTCTTTCTGGTTTTCACATACTATTAACTTGCTTTTCTGTTAAATAAACGGATACATTTTTCAATAGCAACGATATTAAAGTTTATTAAGGTTTTTCTTCTATCATTTGCCACCTTATATAGATTAAGCATTAATTATAATGCTTACTATGTAATTAATCAACTTTTAACTAACTACAAATTCTCACCTACTGGAAAAATAATAATTTTATTTATTTATTATGAGGCGACCACTAAAAGTATGTTGAAAACAAGAGTTTTCTTCCTTAACATGCTTGCAACGTTGCAAAAGATTATTAGCATCATTATTTATATTATATTGACAAATTTGATTGAAGAAGCTATGGAAATCTTTATGAAGAAATGGAAGATCAACATGCTTTACAACTTCTTCTTTTTTTTTCAAACTTCAATAATAAAATTCTTCTCATCTACCGTAAAAATGTTGATAATTTATGATTGTAGTTAGATGTAAGTTTAATTACCTGCCATGAGAGCCTTCCACATTCACATCTTGAAGAACCAACAAATAATATAAAATTACATAAATATCCTGTGTCATGACTTTTTATTAGATTGCTTCTCAACGACAAGCTTCCATTAACTTCTCCTCCGATGTTTTTTATATATTTGGTTGCTTTAAGCGAGCTATCTATGTCTCAGTGAAAAATTAAAGCTTATGTTACTTTCTCTCTCTTTTTTCGCAAAAATTGGTGAAAAAACAAAAATATTGTATCAGTGACTTCTAAGATTCGTCTTGATAAAAGATGAAAATTCATCGAATAGTTAGATTATGATAACTATATTAAAAACCAATCCGTGAATTAAAAATGTATCGAACAGTTAGATTATGATAACCATATTAAAAACCAATCCATGAATTAACCAGTTTAAATACAGAATTCATCGACACTGCGAGAATTTAAACCTAAACAATTGTTAATAATCTAATATTGAATTAACAGAACATATAGACGACAACACTGATTCTGCCTCCCAGAATGGCACGATTCTGTCACCGACTACTTCTTCTCTTCCGAACTTAAAAGCAAGCCTCAAGTAAGCAACAGCAACAGAGTGCAGCCAAACTGCAAAACAAGACAACATCAGCTTGTGTCAATTTTTTCCATTTAAAGGGTATCAATACTTGACAGGACAATACATTAACATAAGAACGAAACAAACAAACACGTCATGAATTATTATATCCTTTTACTTTTATCTCCTGATTCATGAACAAATACAAACCGATCACATAAGTTTAAATTAATTTCAGTCAAACTTAATGACTAAAAATCTGAAATCCTAATTCAACCCCAGAGAAGTTTGCCACCACTTACATAGATTCTATCTCTAGCCAACATTTGAAATTTGGGATATTCTCAATAATCTTGATAAAACAAAAGAAAAAGGCAACAGCATCAACACATAATAGCTAGAAAGAGAAAGAGAGACATACCATCCTTCAAGAAAACCGGTTTCTTGTCTGGGAGGAGGTTGCTGAACGTACTGAGGAGCATAGCATTGGGGAGGGTACCCTGGTGGAGGATAACTTTGTCCAGGGTACCCTGGTGGGGGATAAGGGTCCTTTACTGGATACCCTGTTGAGTTAAAAAGTTTCCACAAATCACATCAAAAGAACCATTCAATAACTTAACATTACCAAATAACCCAGAAAGAAAAAAAAAAAAACTTTTAAAGTAAGAAGTATTAAAATAGATAGATAGATAGATATACCTTGAGGGGGAGGAACTCCAATTGGAGGCTGTTGCTGATTGTAGTAGCTCATGTTGATCGAATCAATTTGATAACTAAAGAGAGTGAAGAGTTTGTGATGGGGGGAAGAGGAGGGATTTATATAAAGAGAATCAATTCAGTGGCGGTGAGAGAAAGAGGAAGTTTCCTGTTTGTTTGGGTTAACTGAACTGAATAAGGAAACAAAAACGCGTTCTAAATCTACAACGATTCCCATAAATAATTTGGAGATGCTTTTCTTTTTAATATAAAATACGTAACAACAACGACATTCCCGATGAGTGTGATATGCACCCTGTTTTTCCACTACGCCCCTGCCTCCTTTTCTAAAGTACCTTTCAAATTTTCCGTTAGCTTTTTGACCTTTTTTCTGCACTTGCATTATTTAGCTAACCATAAAGATTCAAATCAACCACAACAGTAGCTGTTATTTTTACTTTCTTTTCAAAATATTATTATTTATTTAATGGGAATGCATATGTAATTATTGTGTTTGTTTGGTTCGTCGTGTAAACCACTACATAGATAATCTAACTTGTTTTCAACGTATTTTTTAAATTTATAAATTAGTGTAATTATATTACAAAGCTCAGGATAAAAATATTGTACAATAATTTAACCTATATTTTATGACCTGATAGGATAATTACATTGCTAGCTTTATTTAATAATTCGATTTTTATTGCAAAAATATATATAACATTTTTCTAGTAAGCTGGATGTAAATAAATTATTATAAAATTTCTACTTCTGAATTAAGTTTTTACTTTTAAAATCTGTTATCATTTGCAATACATAGTTATGTTTGACTATGAGAATCTGTCACAAATTATTTTTCTCACGTAATAATAAATTTATATTATTACAATTTAACCTTTTTTGTTGGAAAAAATTATGTGACTTATATAATAGAAGGTGAAGAAGGAAAGAAGGCATCATATTTTTATGGAGAGTGTTAAGCAAGAATAATGGGCTACGAAGAAAATATTTGACAAGAAAAAAAATGAGATCTCTTTGGACAACACCAACACTTTTAATAGAAAACAAAAGTTTTATAAATTAAAATCAACTTAAACATAAATTAAAAAAAAATTAAAAGAATGTTAGGAAAATTATATAAATTATATTATGCATACATTAATTTTATTTTTATTTTATTATTTTTTCTTTTAAAGGAGATTATTTCATAAAATAACAAGGCTAACTCCTTTTTAATAAAAATAAGAAAAACGACTAAGCAAGTTTAAGGTTTTAATTACCAAAATATATTACAATCATAAGAATTTGAATTGAGAATCTAGAGAGTATTTTATTTGTGAGAATGTGAGAAGATAAATTATATATTATGGAAATTATATGTTGGTGCTTATATTTTCCTGTTATAAAATGAGTATAATGTTTATCTTTTAAATCACTCAAAATCTCTTTTTTCTCCTTTCTACTAGTGCATTACATAGTAGTCTAGTTTTCTTATTTTTAAGAGAATATTATTATTGTTTTCTCTTAGATTTACAGAAGGTATTGTAATTTTTTTCAGTAGTAAAATTTTATTATTGTCTATTGTCGATTTTGTTTCTCTTTTGTCATCTTTTATTTTAGTTGTGAGTTCTTATGTAGTTACTCTGATTCCTAACTGCAGTATCAGAGCCTATGATTAATTTCTCATTTATGAAGCTGATGGTTGGTTTCTTATTTATGATATTATTTCGCTGCTATAGTCATTAGAATAGTATTGGATAAAATTGTTAGTATGTTATGTGATTGCAATTAATCTGATCTTCCACATCAGATAAGAGTTATTCTAGTTATTGAATATAAAGTGTGGTAGTGTGACAGTGCATGTCTAGAAAAAGGTCTGGCAAGGAAAAACTTGATATTTAAGTGTGTCTATTAGTGACTCACATCTTTCTTGGAAGCTTACCTAGTGTACTAGTTACTAGGAAAAGTTTTGGTAAAGAAATATTTGGTATTTAAGTGTGTTTATTAGTGACTCTCACCTCTCTTTCTTGGGAGTTTATCTGATGTACTAGTTATAGTTTACATTGTTGTTCCAGTAGACAATATTATTCATAGTAAAAGGTGCATAAGTCGATTAAAATCATGCCAACAAAATATGAGATGGAGAAGTTTAATGAGAATAGTTTCTTATTGTGGAAATTGAAGATGAAAGAAATTTTGAGAAAATACAATTGTGTAAAAGCAATTGGAGAAAGATCGTGAGCATCACAGATTAAAGGTGGGAAGAAATTTATAATAATGTTATAACAAATTTGTGGAGAAGGATACAACGAAGGAGATTTGTGAGTTCCTTGTCAAATTGTATCAGGAGGAAATACATATTGGACTTAATTTATTATGATGCGTTGGAATCGTTGATATTATCCCTAGGAGGGGCCAAATATTTTGTGTCAGTGATGATAATGATTATTCCAAGAGATTATGGGTGTACCACATCAAGAAGAAGTTTGTGTTTTCAAAGTTCAGGAAAGACAAATTATTGAATTATGCTAACAATATGAAAGAGTATTTCTTGTGGATCCCACTATCCACAAAATTATTGTTAGCAGCGATACAACTATTATTTTTCTTCAAGGTGAACTTAGAGAAAAGATTGATGTGCTCTAATCAGAAGACTTAAAGAAAAAGAAAACTTGGTTTGCAGGTTGTCCAAATTTCTATACGGTTTAAATCGGGTGTGCAGATGTTAGTATGATAGATTTGATTCTTCATGATTAACCTTGATTACAACAGACTAAGTTCAGACTATTGTACCTATTATAATAGATTTGATGAGAATGATTTTATTATTTTGTCGCTGTATGTGGATGACATGTTAGTGTAGGCTTCAACAAAGTTCAGATTCAGGTTTTGAAGACACAGTTGGCTAGGAAGTATGATATGAAAAACTAGGAACTAACAAACAAGATTTTAAGGATACAAATTCACCGGATCATAAAAGATAGGAAAGTTTGACTTTATTAGAAGAATTATTTACTAAAGATCTTGCAATACTTCAACACGCAAGAGTGTAAGCCATTTTTACCCCATTTTCTATGAAGTTATCATCAAATATGAGTCCTAACAATGAAGCAAGGAGGATGAAAATGTCTCTAGTAATGTATGCATCAACGATGGGAAGTCTTGTAAAAATCATGATTAGTACAAGATCAGACATTGCAAAAACAGTGGGAGCAATTAGTAGATCAATAGAAAATTATGGTGAAGAACATAGTTTTATCAATAGATTTTTTATCAAAGGAACCTTAGATGTTGTATTATGTTTCGGAAGATCAAAATTAGTTGTCAAATGCTATGTTTGTTAAAGTTTTACAAGTGATCTTGATGAACTTATCTTTGTTGGAGAGACAATAACTGGTTATCTAAGTTATAGGATGTTGTAGCTCTGTCTATCACAGAAGCTGAGTACATGGTAGTCACTCAGGCATGTAAGGAAACTATTTGGATTAAGAGGATAATTGAGAAATTCGGGCACAAGAAGCAATAGATTATTGTGTGTTGTGACAGTCATAGTGTCTTGCACATTGCAAGAAATCTTACCTCATATTTCAAGATAAAGCAAGAAGAACCTAGCAGATGTTATGATAGTCGGTTAAGAGTGATAAGTTTACATAGGTGTGATCCTACTGAAGATCTATTACAATAATAACATGGAAGACAGTAATAATGTATTGTGAAGATTTGATTAATTTAATCAAAATCTTGAAGTGAGAGATTGTGAGAATGTGATAAGAGAAGTCTCACATGAGAGAAATTATATGTTGGTGCTTATTTTTTCTGTTATAAAAGAAGCACAATGTCTACATTTTAAATCATCCAAAATCTATTCCTTATCTTTTCTACTAGTGCATTATATAGTAGTTTAGTTCTCTTATTTCTGAGAGAGAATATTATTATTGTTTTCTTCTTATATTTAAAAAAGGTATTGTAATTTCTTCCGGTAGTAAAATTCTATATTGTCTATTGTCGGTTTTATTTCTCTTTTCTCATCTTTTATTATAGTTATGTGTTCTTATATAAGTACTCTTATTCATAACATTACTATTTGTCATTAACTCCATTTTTGTAAATATAGAATGGCTTCTTTAAAAATTTGGGAAAAAAAAAACCTCTAGTATGCATACTTCATAATCTCATTTTTTACAATCTTAAAAAAAAGCAAAAATATAATTATTGATAAACAAAATAAATTGATTTAAAGGAAATATTTCAATCAAAATTTTAAAAAATTCAAAGATGTTCAATTCGTCTTCTTAAAATAATTTATGTCTCAAAGGGTTTGTAAACATACTCGATGATGCCTGCATCATTCATATTCAAGGTCGACTCAAGGCCCAAGCAGCTAAGGCCCTTATTTTAGGCCCCTTAAAAAGATGTCTCCCAAAATTTTTTTTAATACTAATATTATTTCTAACAATTTTTTTTAATAAATCATAATTTTTTTTAAGAAAAAAAATTGGTTAGTTAATATTAATAGTTAAAGAAGTTCAAAAGTTTTTTTTTTTATCTCTGTTCTTTTACTAATTAATTTTAATTTTTATCTTATCTTCTCCTTATGTGACTTTTTAATTCTCATTTATTCATTCTCTTTATTTTTCAGACTACTCAGTTTGAGTGTTTGATACATACACATAACACATTAGTTAATAACTCAATATTTTCAATCTGAGTCATCTCTTATATGTTGTGTACTTGTGTTGGTTGTTGGCATTTTGCTTGTGTGTGTTTCGATTTCACTGATTTCAAGAGGTAAAAGGAGGCAACGCAACTCAAACAAGGAATTATTTGACATTTATTTCTTTGCAGTGCGACCCCGTGCGTCATATCAGGTAAAAATCTAAAATTTAAAACTTGTTGTACATAAGGATACTTTGATAGTGTCTCTTTCAATTTACCGTTTATCGTTTGTGCCTTTACAGTTTCGTTTGCCATTTATTTTCTTGACAACTCACAATCAAAATCAGGTTTTATTGTTTCGACTCATTCTTTTTTATATACTTTTCTTTAGTAGTGTTTTATATAGATATATAGCCTAAGTTTCGTGAAAAACATATTCATCGTAGAAAAAAACAATTTGATGAAAATGTTGATAATGAAATTGTAAAATCTTTTCAAGAATCATTTAAAATTGATTACTTTTTTTACATTGTAGATAAAACAATTACTATGCTTCAAAGTAGATTTGAACAATTTAAAATATATGAAGATATTTTTGGTTTTTTATTTAGTGTTAAAAAATTAAAATCACTAGACTATATACTTTTGAAAGAAAAATGCTTAAACCTTGCAAAATCTTTGAAACATGATAACATGTTGGATCTTAATGGATTAAATTTATTTTCAAAATTAAATATCTTAAAGGAAATTATAGGATTGGAAGATGATAAACCAATTGACATTCTTAATTATATAAAAATAATAAATTATTTTCCAAATGCATATATAATTTATAGAATAATATTAACAATTACAAGTATTAGTTGTTTGAGTTGAAAGGAGTTTTTCAAAATTAAAAATAATAAAAAATTATTTAAAATCAATCATGTCTCAACAAAAATGAAATTGATTGACTTTATTATCTATTGAAAAAGAAATATTAAATAAAATTAATTATGACAATTTAATAGATAATTTTACATCAAAAAAACTCAAACAATAAATTTTAAATAAAATTATGATACATTTTAACATAAATTATTTTATTCCTAAATAAAATATCTCATTCTTAAATTTGTTTTAGGTCTCCAAATCTTGAGTCGTCGATGTTCATATTTATAATAAAATTTTAAGAACTTGTAATTGCCACATGATTTGATATTAAGCATAAGGAATAAATCCAATAACTTACACCTCTAAGTTACATAATCAAACCATGAAATTAAATTATTTAAAATATACAAGTTACAGTTATCATACAAATCAACTTTCACATCTTCAAAGAGCATACATTTCAGTAAAAGTCTAAACAAATATTATCATTCTACTACATGTTAACCCAAATACCTTTGATTCAATCACCATATATGCCTTTTTTGGAGCTTAGAAGCAAGAGTCACATTTGCAACAACAAAGATCCATCAAACTGCAAAATAAGACAATAGTAAATTGAACGTAACAAAAATACAATTTTCCAATCTCATGTTCCCAGAAAATAAAAAATTTCCCGTTACCGGAGACATTGCGTGGTCAGATATTTAATATCAAGTCTTTGGGGTAGAATATAAGAGCAGAATATCGTGACAAACTCAAATATATATATATATATATATATAAAGAATTTGGGATAAAATATAAGAGCAGAGTATTCTGACAAACTCAAACTTTTATATATATACTTACACCTTATATATTTAAATTTCTATCTTTAATGAAAAATATTTTTAGAAACTATTCCATTCAAACAACAAGTGGTTATTAATGTCATATTCCTTATAATAATATTATTAGAGTCAAATCTCGTATTGTCCATTTTAAAGTTCTTATCCATTATAATTTTATCACGTTTAAGAACAAAACTAATGAATAATACTTTGAATATAAAAATTAACGACACCAAAAATAAAAACTATTATTTAATTAGGTTATAGGATAAAAGTAATTTATGGATCCATAAAACTCATAAATATTTAATTTAATTTTTTCTTACAAATAATATTTTTTAAAGCTTAATTCAAATTGAATTTAACTAGTTTAACAAATAATTTTCTTTGATCATTTCAAACTTTTATATTTTCATCTTCCTTAGTAAACTTGACCTTTTTAAGAAATTTTTAATTTTTTTTTACTATACTTTCACAAACTTAATTTTAGTCTAAAATTTTAATTGAATTTAACTAGTTTAACAAATAATTTTCTTTGATCATTTCAAACTTTTATATTTTCATCTTCCTTAGTAAACTTGACCTTTTTAAGAAATTTTTAATTTTTTTACTATACTTTCACAAACTTAATTTTAGTCTATGTACTTTTTAACTCACGAATTTTGGGTTTTAAGTTTTAAAAATATGTAAATTTAATCTTATTCATATTTTATAGTTAAGCTAACTGAAGTGTATTGTGGGAGTTAATATCAATTATTAGTGTTAAAGTCTTCATTTGAACATTGGACTAAAATAGTGATTTTGAAAAAAAAATTACTTAAATTGTCTCCATTTTAAAATATAACTTCTTAAAAATAATTATACAAATTATTTATCATGAAACCAAAATATAATTGATATGTTAGTTTTTTCCTCTCATTATTATAGATGTTAAGCATTTCAAAAAATATATTCTTGTAAAGTATTACATGTTTTATGGTATCTCAATCAAGTTAACACAACACGAAAACATTATTTATTTGCACAATAAAAAAAAACATATATTCAAAAAAATAACAAAATACAAAAATCATGAAATAATAAACCAAAACCAATAAAATACAATGATCATACAACGTACTAAAAAAATGTTATATATTTAAGTTTCATATAAATTAATATATCTTTTTCTTTACTACAATGCTATTTAAAAATAATATTATTTTAAACTTTGAAAATTAAAATATGTTAATATGAATAAGTTAAAACCTTTAATTTTTTTTAATTTGATTGAACTTTTTAATTAAAAAAAACTAAAAAAAAATATAGAGCTAGAGTTTTTTTATTGAACCAATATTTATCAACCTTTTATAAATTTGTTGTTTTTATATATTTCTTCCAAAGAAAAAAATGGTTCATTCTTTTATTTATTTTTTCTTCATTTATTTATTATTTTTTTCATACAACAAGCTCATATCTACCAGTAAAAAAAAATCAACAACTTCACTGCAAACTGATAATCATTTTTCTTAATTGAAGTTACAAGTTACAACAAACATTACTACAATAACATGACTCCTATTACAAACTTACAAAATCTAAAAATTTCACCCATTTTGAACAGTCTATAATAGAGTGAAATAGAGAAAATAAGGGAGCTGACAAAGAAAGTAGAAAAAAAAAATAGCAACAAAAAGTGAAAGAAGAAAAGTTAAAAAAAAAAAAAAAAAAAGTTGAGAAGAGAGGTAGAGTAAATAAAAATTGATAAGAGAGTAGGAAAAAGATGATAGAAGAGGTAGAGTAGAAGGCTTTGAGAGGAAAAAGTAGAAAAAAAGAAAGAAGATATCAAGTAGAGGAAAAAGTTGTAAGGAATAAATTAAAAAACAAAAATTCATGACCAAAATTAAATTTACACTTTGGTATACACTTTTTAATTATTTATTTTCACTTTATTTTAAATTTTGCTTGTGTTATTTAAATATATTCTGTGTTGAATATTTTCATATGAGAAATATCTTATCGTAATTATTGTTATGGCTGCATGCATGAAAATATTTCATTGTACGAAAATTTAAATTTTTTTTAGAGTTTATCTATTTTCTTTATTTGTTATGGTGAGATGAGATGGTATTTTCAATGATTTTTATTTGAGAAAAAATGTTTCTATCTTTATTTCACTCTGATCTCATTTACATATCTAACTAATTTTCTTTATTTGAGATAAATCTAAATATTAAAAATTGAACCTTTAGCTTTTTTTTCTTATTTTATTATTATTTTTCTCTCGAAAATATGTTATTTGAGTTTACCTTGTTTTTCTAATCAATAAATATTATTAAATATTCTAATAATATAAAAAATGATTTTATAGAATTAATTAAAAATAATTAATATTAAATAAAAGTAAGAATAATAAACGCAAAATAATGACAAATATTTCATCACTATTTTAACTACAATAATAAAATAAGTCTGGAAACTTCTCATTGTATGCTAAAATGATTTATTTTATAATTTTTTAATTAAAATATTTTAAAATAAAATTTATAACTTTTGTATAAATAAATAAATAAAATTATTAGAGAAAAATTATTAAAATGTGACATTTTTTTAATTTTAAATTTTAAATATGTAAGTTCAGGCAATTTGTTATCTTAAATATTTTATGTAAACTAAATAAAATAATATTATTTTATAATAAAAATATTTCCTACAAAATGTTTAAAATTAAATTTTATAATTTGTCTATTAAAAATAATTTTTTTTAGAAAAATATTTATTTAAATGTGATATCCTTTTATTTTTAAATTTTAAATATACAAATTGAAACTACTTATCATCTTAATTTTTTTATTTAAAGTAAAATATACAAAATTATACATAATCATAATTTTTAATAAATATGTCATAATTATTAAAAGATTAAATTTTATGTTATAATTAAATAATATTCAAATGAATGTTTTGATTAATAAAATGTGATATCTTTTTATTTTTCTGACTTATTGAAATAAAGTGTAACCCTAAAAACATTTCTCTCTAAATTAATAAAGTTTTTTTATAATGATAATAATACAATTAAAAATATTTTTACTAAATTGACTTATATTATATTTCTATCAAAATTTATTTTTATGATATAAGGATATAATAGTTAAAAATCTTAAATTTAATTAAAATAACAATATAATTTAAAATCATTAACTTTTAAATATTGTCTATAATTACAAATTATGTAACTTGATTTTTTATTTAGAGATAATAAGAGAAAGATTCCTGCTGAGTTTTAAATATTAATATGAAAAACATTTATACGTTACAAATTTGAAGTATACAAAAAATAAACATTCATCATGTTGATTATGCAACCTAAATCACTAGTAAATATATAGAATTATTAAAAATATTTATCTTTTAAATTAGTAATTTAAAAAAAAATTAACAATATTTATTACAAACTTTAGAATATTTTCAAATGAAATTATTAATAAAAATGGCTTAAAAATAAAAATCTATAATAAAATATTTAATTTTATTTCTAAACTATTCTTAAAATTTATTGTAGATGTGGTTAATAAAAAATGAGACATACCATTTTTCAAAGCAACCCATTTCTTCAGTGGGGCGAAGAGGATTTTGAACGTACTGTGGAGCAGGAGCAGCATCATGCCGCGGGTATGCCGGTGGACAGTGAGGGTCCTTTGCTTCTATGGATGGAGTTCATTCACACCATAACAACCATTTAATCAGATTTTATTACCCAAACAATTAACCCACAAAATAATTAACACTATACCCTGTGGAGGAGGAACACCTTCTGGGGGCTGTTGCTCATCATCGTGCTCCTTCATGTTACCGCTCTTTCAATACCAACCCTTTATTCAATTACTTTGCTTTCTGGTTTTTGATGCTTGGAGGAATAGAGGGGTTTTGTATATAAAGAGAATTCAGTGTCTCTGAGAGCTTCAGACAATGACCAAGATTACTGTTTCCTTCCATTAACACGATTCCCATTAATCTTTTCAAGATGCTTGCTTTAAGATAATAATAACATGGTTTTAGACTTGCCACTGAAAGTATTAAAATTGTTTTATTTCTTTCAAGTTTTATTTTCTGCTGTCATTTATATTCTTCCGAATATTAAACTTTTCAAAAAGTTTCTCAAAGTATAATTTGTTTATTACTTTAATCTTCTTCTCAAAAGACCATTTAGGTAACATATTGGTTGTTGGACTTACCATCATTTATTGTTATTTTAGCATGCAAGTTTAATATCATTTTATTATTTAAACTTAAGTACTCAATAAGATTTTACATGAAACATAATTGAATTTTAAAATTTCCTTATAAAAAAGTTTGCAACAAATAGTTGAATTTTAAAACTAAAACATCAATAAGTGATTGAATTTAGAGAATAGAATGATAATTAATTATTAAATTCAAGCACTGTACATAGTATCTCGTACAGGAATTTTCCTAATAATAAAACTAAAATAGCAGACGAAATTCGAAATATATATTTTAATATTAATATTTTCTATAAATGTAAAATATATAAGTAAATTATGTATTTTCTTGAAACCAATATTCAAAAGATTGATTCGTTGGGCCATTTTAGCGGCACATGTGGGCTTCCATGGATTGATCCCTAGTCACTTTCTTTCTTCCTGCATCTTTTATAATTTTTTTCCTATATCTCTATATCCTAAATAAAATCATTTTGTTTCCAATACTTATTCTTTCCTAAACAAGTTCTGCATCTCCATTGTTTATCTTGTATATTTTCATAGATTTGATTTCTTGTCATATCATCTTTATTTAATTATTTAAGATTATTTTCAATATTTAAAAATAGATATACATTAATATTATATATCTATTATTATACAAAACTTAAATTGTTCTATTCGAAATAATTTTACAAAAATTAGATTAAATTTCGAAACATCAAATTTAAAATATATTTTTATATTAATTTTTTTAGAACACCTATTTCAAAATAAATTCTCAAAAAATCAATTTATTATTTTAAAAAAATTAATTCAAAATTAATTTTCTATTTTTAAAGATTAATTTTCTAAAAATACATTCGGTAACTTATTTTTTGAAACATGATTCTAGAAAATTTTTTCTCAAAATCATATCTTTATAAATTTTTTTAGAATTGTATTTCTAATCTATAACACGTTAAAAATAAAATAGGATTTAATTTAATCTCTAAAAGATTAAAAATAAAATAAAATAAAATTTAATTATGAATAAGTTGAAAGAAAATATTAAAAAAGTGGGTATATATATATATATATATATATATATATATATATATATTTAATTATACCGACAATAATTTTTAATTGTTTAAGAATAAGCACATAGAAATTAAACTAAAAAAATACAAACGTAATGACTAAAAACATGGATAGTAAAAGTAATTAATAATAATAATAATAAAAGAAAAGCACAGCTGATATAGATAAAAAGTTGGTACAGTAACAGTTATAAAAAAATTTACAACATATTCTTCTTTAATAATTTTTATTAAAAACTATTTAACAATTTAAAAAAATCATACAATTTTATAAAATATTTAGGGAAAATAAAAAATTCATTCAAATAAAACTATTTTATTTGATTCAATTTTGATAATAAATTAAAATAAATAAACCTAAACAGTCTAATATATAATTATATATAAGGTTTCATTCCTTTGCATGAAAAATATAAATTAGAAAATGACTAATGTAGAAAAATAAATAAATAATCATAAAATTTTTATTTTTGATAAAAATAAAAAGGAATAATCGTTATTTTTTATTATAATATATATATATATATATATATATATATATATATATATAAAGATAAAAAAGATAATTTTATAAAATTATTGATAAATATTCTAACAATATAAAAATAACTTTAAAATTATAATTTTTATTTTATTTCACTTTCTTCAAACATTTTTTTTTCAAAAACTTTTTTTTAATTATTTTGGTGTTGTCATTCAAATATTTGTTTTATATTTTCTTTCTTTTACTTTCTTAATCACATATTTTCTCAAATTTTCTTATAAAATTAATTAAATTTTTTCTCTCTTCCATCTAGGGATGACAATTAAACTCGTCCCGCCCGAGTTTGATGGGGAAAACCCGAGTTGACCGGGACGGGGCGGGTTCGGATTTTCCCGCTTTAAAAGTCGAGGCGGGGCGGGGATGGGTAATGTAATCCCGACCCCGTCCGCCCCGACTTTATATTTAAATTTAAATTTTAAAATATTATTATTTTAAAAGTATTTCCTTTTCTTTTTCTATTACATATAAGGTCATTTTTTTATATTTCACCAACAAAATTTTCTTCTACCCACTTTTTAATTTTTTTGTCTTTTTTAATCTTTTATATCAATTAATTTATTACATTATTCTTTCTCTTACCTTTCAGTTTTTCACATCTCCTTAATCTCTCCCATCAATTTTTTTTCAATCTTTTCAACCAATTTGATGAACACAAAGTTAACTTTTTTTTATTCTTTATATTTTTTTAAATATTTTACATAAATCTTAGTAGTAACTAATATTATTTTATTTATAATTTATATTTATTAGGTTATATTATGTCATATTTTTTTATCTTATTATTCTTATTCATCATATATCAAATTCTATCTTAATAAAATAATTGTATTTTAAAGGATTAAAGGAATTGATAATTTAAATTTTTATTACTTCGAACTAATTGAATAAGAATTAACTTATTAAATATTTCCTTATAAATTATATATTTCATATTTTTAAATGACAACTTAAAAATGAATTAACTTATATATATAATCAAATGTTTGAATACGAGTATTATAATAATAGTGTTATAAATATTCAAATATTTGAATACAGTATTATAATAATAATAATATTATAAATAAAAAATGATTAAATATTTCTTTTACATACATATTTTAATATAAATATAATAAATTAAAATGTATATTTAATTAATAATAATAATAAATTATAAATATTTATTTATATATAAAAAATAGATAGTAAAATTAATTTATTATAAATATAAATATCTTTTTAAAAATAATATAAAATTGGGGACGGGACGAGGCCGGGAACCCGAAACCCAGCGGGACGGGAATGGGGACTTAATTTCTAACCCGTGGGATCGGGAGCGGGACGGGGATGGTTAAAAAGTCGGGGTGGGGATCGGGGAGGCAAAACCGACCCCCCGCCCCATTACCATGCCTATCTCATGCACACATATTTTTTTTTCTATCAAATATAAATAAAATCAATTAAAAATATCCTTTCTCTTTATAATCACCCATTCTTCTCAACTTTGCTTTCATATCTAATATTTTTTTAATATCTAATAATTCTTTTATATATAATGATATTTATTTTTTAAAATTAATATATAAATTATATTATAATTAGTTAAATTAAAAACATGTCTTTCCCGTAGTATTTAGAATAAAACAAGTTAATTGAAAATTTAAATGAATTCCATTTTCACTCCTAATTTATTTTTACTCCAACCAATATAAGCTATTCATTAACATTCACTTTCTCCTGCCTACTACCTTTTACTAAATGTTTACTTACGTTCTTATAAAAAGTGATTAATTACTTATTAAATTAAAATTTATTTTATTCGTTAAATAATCATTTTAAAATTCAAACAACTTATTGTAAAAGATTTTTAAAATATATATTAAATTTACTAAACTAAAGTTTATTTAATATGATAAAAAATTAAACATATAAACAGTTAAAGTAATAATTAATTTTTGTTGAAATTATTTTGAGAAATTTAATTGTGACTTATCAGCAGAAGTGACAAGCAAAAATTTCTTATTACAAGAGATAAGATATAAACATGATGGGTAGTTTTCATACCTACTAGTTTGACTAGTGGTTACTTTGAAAAATAATTAATTAAAAAAAATAATTTAAAATGATAAAACATAGTTGAAATTATACAATTGTCAAGTTTATGTTTTTTTTTGGCTAAATATTTTATTATTATTATTATTATTTTTAATTTCATATCACTATTATTTTCAATATTAGTTTAATTTATTTTTTTCTAAAATGAATTAAGGTGATTTCTTTTGTTAACTTTATAAAATAAAATAAAATAAAAAATATCATATAATGTTGGAATGATAATGTTTATTAACATAACATTATGTAGCGCGTAAGTGTATCTCAACGTGCCATTTATATAATGAATAATACGTTGTAGTGCGCACATATTATACTTTTATTTAAACAACTTGATAGAACAGTTGAAAAGGATAAAAATAATTATTTTAAAAAATAAAATAGCTATAAGATGAAATAAATAAATAATAAAAACAAAATAATCTTACTTTTATTATACAAATGGCTGTACATCTCAAAGTATTTGAAGAAAATTTGATCAGTAATTACTTTCTCTTTTAATTTATTGTGTTCATGCTTGATTTGAGTCAAATATTTTATAGTTGAAAATTTAGACTATTGTAAATGAATTAATAATATAAAATTTTTCACAAATAATATAAACAAAACATATAACATTATCTTTAATATAAAACCTTAAAACATAATATTATAAATTTTTCTCAATTACATGTTTACGAGTTCAACTCATATTTTGAATTCGCAACAAATTATATTTTTATTCTTTTATTGATTTTTTTTTCTTTTTCTTGTTTTTTCTTATTGGATAATAAGGTTACAAAGAATCATCCAAGTTCATATTTCACCTGTCAACGTCATGTTGTAAAATTTTTACAAATATATAATATATATTTATATATATATATAAGAAAATATTAAATATTATTTATATTAACATATAGGTTAGAATCATTTGTTCAGAATTGAATGATTTAGAGCTCATCTCATCTTTAAAATTATATCATATGTGCATCTCCCATTATATCATTATATCATTTTGAAACTACAATGTTCATCTAGTTGCAAGAGCAAAACTTTTAAGCTAAAAAATGATTAGATTTTTCTTAATATTGTTTTAAGTCTAAGCAACCAATTCTCATAGAAGCAACCGGTACCATTCATATTTCAGTGCAATGGAAATAGCTAATTTGGCACCTATGCTTCATATGGTGGGAAAATGTTCCATATCTTCAACAATCGCAGAGTTATGCAGCTCCACCGTGTTTTTTCCAAATTATCCTTCTTCCTTTCAACTGATCAAGACTCACGTACTACTTAATATAACATTTACGAAGCACTCATCTCCCTCTCGCTCTCGCGCTCAAACGCCACCGTGCTGGGGAGGAAGTCATCGACGATGTCGATTTGGGAACCCTATTCCCAAAACATTTTGTAACCTCCAAGTTCGTGCTCACACACACCATATCAAAGTGATGGACAAACCCATATCAAAACATATGAGACCTTGAGGGTGTGGAGGAGTGTGCATCATTTGGGAGCAGAGATTAGTGTGCATCATGGTGCCGTCACCAGAATAGAAGACCTGTAGTGACGAAGAAGAGAGATGAAAAGGAAAGAAAAACGAAAATAACAGGGTAATGGGAAGGGGGATAAGATAAAATAAAAAGATTCAATCTTTGATTTGAATTACTTTCCCACCGTAGTCTTCACCTCGCTATTGAACTCTACTTTTACATTAAATACATTATTATGCTCCAGAAAACTGACGTATTAGGAAATTTAGGCCCTTTTCTGACAGCTGGAGGTCATACCTCCCCAATAAACAACAAATTGAAGTGCCCAAACATGTTGATGAAACATATAGACAATATCTAGATCAAGAACCCTGTCTTTCGAATTAAAGGCAAAATTGAATGAAAAGCAAGGGATAAAGTTATTGCACCATTGACCCGTCATTCCATCCAAACAAAGCAACCAACCAACATTCAAACATTAATCTGTAAATGGTGCATAGTGGAGCTAGCACTAGCAGGTGCACGTCGGATCCGAAGATTTGAGTTCAGGAATTTCGCTTTTATATCTTATAGCCTAAATTATCTGATAGCTGTGGAGTTTGTACTCTTGTGGGGTTGGGCTTAAATTTTAATTGATCGCAGACGCTACTCGTGCAAGAGCGAGTTTACACATAGCATATATAATAGTCAATTCAAGAAAAAGAACCAAGTTAGCAGAAAATATACATGGGACCACACACAACCTCAATATTCCCCAAGTTTAATGCAAAACTGGAGAAGCTCTGAACAGCAGTGGGACATTCAATTATCTAAATCCATGGTGGTCAGTGATAAAATTTGAAGGCAAACAAAGCTATACTACTACTACCATAATAGTCTAGCCGACTTAGAACACGGTTTTGTTTTAACAAATTAAACAAAACACCATAAGATATATTCTAGAACAACTTGGCTAATGTCTAATTGTACGGCTAAAATGTATACATGTCCTTTCCATAAAGAGAGACACGCTTAACAAACACAAACCCTAGGTAGAGTAGACTACTGATGAATGAGGAGGGTAATGTGGATGCATTGGAAAGAGTGAAATAAAAGGAAGGGTTGTTGCTGTTGTTGCTCTGCATGGTTTATTCATGGGAGTTGGGGTAATAGTTCGTTCAAGTTCCAATTTCTGCAATGCTCTGTAAGGCTGGCCTCCATTGCCCACCAGAACCAACGAAATGCCTTCCAACACCTTTGTTACTGCTGCTGCTACTGCTGCCATTGCACTCCATTCGTTGAATCTCTTGTTCGACCTGACAATGAACAGGAAAAAGAAATAACTATGGCATTGCGTTGGATAGGCACACACGCCAAGAGGTAAAAAGAAAATGACAAATCGTATTTATTCATAGTACAGATCACAGAAGTCAGATGGTAGGCTACAACACAGATTACAATCCATGTCTGTACAACATCATTTTTTCTATTGTGGAAAATCAATTGGTCGAGCGTTTCAAATTATTTGCCTGTGATAACAGATTAGGTTTGTAAAAATTTGAAGTTTTAGATAGGAAAGAAATGGTCTTCTAAATGGACTCCAACATGGCCTCTTTAGGCTCTTGGGTGTTACTGCATACAAATTGGCAGGGTAAGCAAGAGTGGCTCTTTCAAACCACTTGATCACTTTCACTTGACGCAACTGGTAAAGTTAAACAGTTATTTGAATAAATAAAGATTTAAGTTCCGTATCTCTTCTTCTTTACTCTATTCCTTTTGTAAAAAGAAACAAAACTTGAAAGTTAAAAAGATCATATCTTTAACGAAAAGCATCCATGCTATCCTATGATTAGCTAACCAGCGGTCCTGACATGCCTTTTGTAATTTGGTAGTGCTCTCGTGAAGTGGAAACGTGAAGAAACTTAGAAAGTGATAAAAGCAACAGAACAAAGGCATTTATCATTATTTGGATAGTGGAGCATGCATTGTTTAACGTACTTTCCTAATTTACCACTGCATGGTCGACTAAGGACTCTTTCTTATTTTACACTAAAAAACAATTTCTTATCAAATACAAAACATATATAAAAATTTATTGATTATATATATATATATATATATATATATATATATATATATATATATTACATTTGCAGTAAGTGGTTCAAAAACAATTTTATCAAGACGAATTCTTCTTAGATGTAAGTCAAACGTGTGTTGAAATTATCATGTTAACTATGTTATACATTAGTGTACTGTTTATGTAAAAATCTATACTTCCAGAAATACGTTCAGAAAAAGGTTTTACCATTTTCTATAACCCTCTAACGCAATCAAATTAGGTAATAGTAGAATAAAATTGGTCACTGCAACAAAAAGGGTTCTAGTAAAATACGGAATGACAAAATTAACAACTGAGTTTAATTTGAATTTCCTTAACGCGAGGTCTGTTGAAACCTTGGATCGATTGTGGATGAGCGAGCCAAATATCGAATACCACAACAAACTTGTAACTAAACTAAACAATCATTACACGCATCCACCAGTGTCTCTGTGCCAAACTAAAAGTGAGGGATTGTAAAAAAAGAAAAATCACCCTCGAGATCCGTACGTAATTAAACAACGATCAAATTCTACCGACGTACTGAAGATAAGAGTTTCTATGAATTTAAATATGCAAACAGAGCAAGGGAAAAAGTATGGTAAAGATACCTTTATTTATGTCTTACTCAGAGAAAAGAAAAACGCCGCACCTCAACATTCCAGTTTAAAAACTCTAAGGAAATGAAAAAAGAAAAAGCTTCCACCATGATACCACATTGCATATCAGTCTTATGATATCCAAAACAATTTAATTAGTTTTGCACGAGAGAAGGCAAAAAAATAAAAATAAAAAACCATACAGCGAGAACATGGAACTTAATTACCTTATTGGAACCATATTCAGATTTGGAAGTTGGGTTAGGATTTGGAGCTCTAGAATCTCTGTGCTTCATCTGAATCCCATGACCCCCTGTTTCCTTGAGCAATTTCCCAAGTTTGCCACATTTCTTGGAAGCAAACTCCTTCAACACATCTATGGCCCACCAAAACACACAAAATCAATTATTATTTTTTGTATGTATAAAAAAAAAACAGACAAGAATACGAGGTATTAATTTATTGTACCTTCGAAACTGATCAAGCGATAAACCTGGCCAATATGCAAAGTATCATCGGGTCGGAGAAGCTTAAGTTGTTTCATTGGCGTGCCATTTTCGGACTTAAGAGTAGATGAGGTCACGACAAGTGCAACATAATGACCAGGGTTAGAGTCCATAACCTGGTGTGCGCTAAGCGACCAATAAATCCTCTCGATCTTGTTCCCAGGGTGTTGAATCACAACCGTAGCGGCTTCCGCAGCTTGACAATTCCCCATATTTATTATCACCAAACTGTCTCTGAACTAGCTTGCTAACACAACTATTGCGATGGCGGTTGTAGTAGAAAGGTGGGTGGTGTGGGCTTATCAATTTGAGATGTAGCAATATGGTAAGTAAATATTATAATGGCTACGGTGGAAACTTGGTTTACGTTTTGAATTGGGTGACGTTTGAAAGACACGTACAACACGGTAAGTGTCAGGAGAGGGAGGAATATGGGAGAGAGAGAGAGAGAGAGGGTGCGTTTTTCTTTCTTCAGTTGTCTGGGTTTGGATATAAATGAACCTGACGCTCTTCCAGGTTCACTGACGCACGCCAAGAATCAAGGGTGTTTGATGGATGTGACCAACGCGAACCCGAATCCGAGAAATGCCCAGAATATATTGTTTTTCTTTGTTCTGGTTAAGTTAGAAATGGTTGTGATGGTGGTGACAGTGTGGGTGACATGTTTAGAAGAGTGCAATGTGTGGACAAAGTTGTGAACAGGGAGAGGCGTGGCTTGAGAATTGAGTCGATGAAAGGAAAACGGGAAGTATATAGCGAGGATGGGACAGTGGACATAAATAGAGACTGAGGCCTTGAGTGGAGTTGAGGCGAGGCGTGTTGAATCTGCAAAACTCACCTGGGAGTTGAATTGAACGTAACTTTGCCGTGTCTGCACTCTTTTATAATTGCAAAACTCAGTTTTGCTAATGGGTTCGGCATTCACTACTTTCCCTACTTGGCTTCATTGACCCATCTCTTACTCTGACTCACCACAAATTCAACGCCTAATACTCTATTTTAAATTCATCACCAAATGCCGTCGTTTTACTTTGTTAATTGCTTACACTGATATTATCCAATCAACTCAAAAAAAACTGTTTCTGCTGAAGATATACATGATTTATATAAAATAAATATAATAGTTAAATTGTATAAAGACACTTTACAAGTTACAGAGCTAATAATGTCATTGCCATGTTCAATTTGCTTTACAATCCATATGATTGGTTGTTTGCTTTTAAAGTTCCTTTCCTCACAAATTTCGTATGTGAAATATGCGCTTACATTCTACCATTTTATTACAACTATGTAATAAAAATAACTCCTCTTGTACATTACTTCAGTAATTACGATTGCATAAAAAACTTCTCTTAACTAAATATGCAACTTGGATACAAGTATAGTGGTGGAATTTTACTTCCATTATAATAATCAGTACCTTTGTTTTTTTTTTACATCATAAATAGTACCAGTGAATTTTAGTAATTTGCATTAATAATTTATAAATGTATTTTTTTTATCAAGAAGAATGATGAACTGTTTAATTTAATAAATTTAGCATCCCAAAGACAAAAGTAAAGCCTTATTGAGGATGGGTGGGATGAGTGAGCGAGTGTGATTGATTGACACGCAATGTAATGTTCCCAAAACGGGACGGTTCTGGAATTAGGTCATAATCCACGGGTGTGGCCAGAAGCAGGGATGTGTAATAGGAAATGCTGACGTGGCTATGCTTTCCCAATTCTGTTGCTTAAACTTTGTTTCCTAGATTAGAAAATTTTTTCGATAAAATATTAAAAATAAAATAGAATTTAGTTCATAACTTCATCTTTGAATTATAATATGATTACTTTTTAAATTATCATTGTAACTAGTTTCTCCTATATATACATCCGTTGTCACCTATGTGAACCTTATCAACAATGTCATCAACGATGCCAAAATTTCAATAGTGACTCAACAAAAGAAAATTATATGATTATATTTACGACGTCTCTGCAGGCACAAAATATGTAATAATTATAACAGCACATTCAATCATAAATTTCACGGTTGTGGTTGTAACAAAAATAATTTTTTAATTCCATGCAATTATTGCAACTTTTGGCAGCTAGTAATCACAATCTTTTTTTATTTAAGTATACGGGTGCTAGTTTAGTTGTTTTTCTTTCCTGATTGTATATATATTATGATATTTGGTTATAGAATATTGTTTTTGAAGACCCAACAGTGGATCATGTAATGCAGTTTCTTCATGTAAATATATAACGCTGCATGTACAATTAAAAGCATGGTGTTTATGTAATCGCACGTGCTAATTAATCGCGCATTGAAACACATATGTTTTATTCTTTTGCGTTAAAACTATTGTAATTGTTTATATTGATAATGGAATCCTAACCCCTTAGCCATGTCAAATTTCGCCTCTCTGATTCACGAGTAGGCACAACCCAATGGTCAACTGGAAAAGGTGCTGCTGGTTTCAAAACATTATGCAAAGGTGATACAATAACAACCTCTGCCGACCAAAGTTGTAACGTTGATTTTTCCTAAACACAACATTAGTTGTTTTTAAAAAATGATAATTAACTAAGAACAAAAGGAGGGGTTGAGTTGATGTTACAGAGCTTCCAAATTCTTTTTTTAAAAATGCCTAACGTTACAATTTTGGTTATTTTGTGGAATTATTACGGTGATTGAACATTAGGAAGCGACTGAACGTGCAGGAAACGGTGTTATAATAATTGGACTATTTGTTTGTCTGCATCATTTGGTTCTAACGTTGATGATCTATCTACTTTTGTCTTGATAATTAAGAAAGATGATAACATTGAAGAAGCATAGCTTCATACCTTATTTTAGACCCATTAGTAGATCTTAACTAATTCCTTACGTCAAATTACCCGTCACTTCAATTTACATTGACACTTTATCAAACTTTAGTTTGGTCCTTGCTTAATTATGATCCCTAGTTCCCTACCACTTCATTTCTTATCATTTCCTTCGTTTATTTTCCTTTTTGCTGCGTAAACATGAAGATGCTCATCATTAATCATTCCAGATGCTTTCTTCTGCTCACTGATTTCAGATTTATTTCAACTGAGACGTGCATCATCTTTTCCTCTTTGACATTTCATTCTCATCATTTAATTTATTTTTTTATTTATTCAAACCTATGCATGGCATGACATGACATGCTCATGATTAAAGAATAGAGATTCATATCAACTGAATGCGATAAATTGTTTTGGGCTTTGACATTTTCTTCGGCGATTGGACTAGGTTTTACATAAATGGACTACTATTCACACCTCTTATTTGCTGTAAGGTAAAGGAAAAAAAATCTTCGACGTTATAGGTGTATGTATTAGTTATCTCATCACATAACTTAAGTAGATCAAGTCCTAATTAAATTATCACATTTAAAATATTATTACAACAGAATTAAAGTAACAAGGCCGATATGATTATTTTAAAAAATTGGTTGAATATCTTTAATCATTAATTAATTAATGGCTTTAATATAAATCTTTACCATCTTTATTCGTAAACAAACATTTAAAATAACAATACCTTTTTATGACATGTGAATAAAAAAAACAAAATAATTTAATTATTGAGTATGCTAAAAATAATTGTTTTTAGTAATTTTTTATCCCCACTTATGGTTAACTTTATAAAAAATTTAGACTTACATTATTGCAAGATAAATATATTTATTTTTTAATAACTATTTATTTATTATTATCTAAATGATTTTTTTATTCTAAATATGATAACAAAAATACATTATAAAATAAATCACGAATATATTTTGAACACTTGTTTAAGCAACCACAATAAAATTATCCGTGGCTATATTACATTCAAACCGTATATACTAGAGTGTCACCACAATTTAGGGCTATAAAATATGTAAGATTTAAACTAGTCTATTATAAAAAATATTAAAAATTAGAAGAATATTTACCTATTCTACACAACCATACAAAATAAATCCATAAATAAAAGAATGTTTATAAAATATTATGATATTGTATTATAGATGAGTTACATTGTTGTAGAATTTTTTTTCGATTCAAATATAAAGAATTTTTTATTTCTTTATCACTACATAATTGCCTTATGCTTCGATGGATACGATAAAATTAATTATAACTAATTTAATTCAAATTAGATTTAAAAAGTTAGTGTAACTATTTTAATTGGTTTAATTTGAATTATTGGATTATGCTAATCTATTTTTAAAAGTATTTATAGGTCAGTTAGATTTTTGGGCTTATTATTTTTTATTTTCACTATTTTTTTTAAATAAGTAAAGATTGTTAAGTTACTTAATAAAAAAAGTAACATAATATTTACGTGACTGTATAACATTAATGTGTATGCCACATATATGTCATATATATATATATATATATATATATATATATATATATATATATATATATATATATATATTAATAATATTAATGTGTTTGTCTGTAATGCTAAAAATAAGTAAAGATAAAATTCCATTAACTACGATATCATTTATGACACTAAATCGGATTATTAATTTTCGTAACCATTCAAACTATTATAACCAAATATTTCCTACTAATTTTTAACTTTAACACCGAGGTGTCTTCTTCAAATTATTAAATTAAAATTTATAACATAACTAATTAGTTTTTTTTTATTATAAATACAGAGGTTTTTCCCTAATTTATACACTTGAGTCTTTCAACCACATTTTCTTCATCGTAATATTTAAATTCGGGATTTTATCTGTGAGATACGGGGTTAGTATTACCTATTGTGTTTTGAAAACTAAAACTAGATTGAACTTACTGGTGAAAATTTAAATTGGTGAACTAAAGAAATTTTGGTTGATAAAAAAGAAGAGTTAAAAAAAAAAAAACTAGTCAAAATTTCTTTTTAGGACAGTTCAAAGAAAAATAAAATAAAACATTTTTTAAGTATTTTTCTTGAAAAATGTAAATAAACCTAACAAAAATGTCATATTGTTTTTCATTACAAATATAAAACTGTTAATTTCAATAAATATTTTTATTATTAAAACTTAGACTTAAGTAATATATATAAATATAATTTTGTAAGTGATTTAAATATTAATAATCTTTAAAATATATGTAAAAGTATAAGTACCATTATAATTTTATACTCATATTTTTTAATATTAAAAATATTGTTTAAACCAATTACACATGGATTAAGTGCGATTAATATAAAGTGATATTATGTTCATCTCTCTTCCTAGTGTTCTATATCATTTATATTATTTATAATTTTCTTCTTTAGCTATCTTAAACTTGGATCTTGCCTACCTCATGTGTGTCTGAATTATTTTCCTTATTATCCCAATAGGCCAACGACAATGGATGTGGACCTCGTGGAAGTGAACTGTGACAGACGCGAACTTGCTTGAATAATGTGTAAAAAACAATCTCAATCTTAAGATACTACGTGGAAATGCAACAAGTTTATATATATCTTTGAACATACTCAAACTCCATTGAAAGGAATAAGCTGGCCACTACTCACTCATAAATTAATCCTTTTATTACTTTTGCCTTTTAATCTAAAAACAAGAATCCTGACAGAGGCATCAATATTCTCTACATTGGTCCTACTAAAGTTGGCTGCTTTTGATGACGAAGCTTCTTGTGAAGTTCTACAATGGCCCCTTAGATTCTGACTTATTGAACCTTTTTAATAAACTTCAGAAGTAAATAGTGCTCCTAGTCCATCCCAAAGTGAAAATTAAAAACAAAATGCTGGTGGTTGCGTAGCGCATGTATGATGTCAGTTATTTTCACATATAACTATGACAAATTATAGAAAGGTGCAAACAAATTGGCTACATTATTCAAACAATGGTATATATGATTGACAGTGTATTCGTTCATTTCTTATGTTCTCCACTTAAACATTCTTAATCACCATGTCTCTCGAGTCCACAAGCCACCAAACTCCTGACTTGTATTGCAGTGAAGTAACTAGCGAAGTGATTCACTTGGAGGATTCTGACGAGGTTTTGAAGTTGAATTATGTTCTATGGGAAGACTCCGATGGTGATGAAAGTTGCCTATTGAGGTTATTCGAATCCGAACATGACCAAGTACAGGAATTAATAAAGTCCCCAGGACAAATTCGCAAAAAACCATGGCTGGTTAATGCTCGAGAAGAGGCCATAAATTGGATCCTAAAGGTGCATATGCTTCAAAGCACTTGAACATGGCTTTACATTGTAACTAGTTTTTGATACTGATATTTGTCTCACTATGTAGGTGCATGCTTACTACAGTTTTAGACCCGAGACAGCTTATCTTTCTGTAAATTACCTGGATCGTTTCCTCAAGTCACACACCTTGACGGTATTGATCACTTGCATTCAAATTGGTTTGATTGATGAAATATATATATATATATATATACAATGTTTGTTTTAACAAAGTGGCATACTTGTGCAGCAAGATAAAGCATGGCCTCTGCAGCTTTTATCAGTTGCTTGTCTTTCACTAGCAGCAAAAATGGAAGAAACCAAAGTGCCACATCTTTTGGACCTACAAGTGATCGAGTCTAGGTTCCTCTTCAAGCCCAAAACAGTTCAAAGGATGGAACTTTTGGTTATGGCCAGTCTCAAGTGGCGATTGCGCACTATAACCCCTTTTGATTTTGTCCATCTTTTCATTGCCAAGCTTTCCTGCTCTACCTCCACATGGGGGGATTTAAGTTACACTGTTTCTCGTGTCTCTGAGGTTATTATCAGAACATGTCTAGGTATCAAACTTTGCTCTTTACCCATTTTATTGCAATATCTTAATGGCTGCTAAGTGCTAACGTTGACGAACATTTTACTAGTCATGGATTTCTTGGTGTTTTCACCATCCACAATAGCAGCAGCTGCACTGTTATGGGTAACTAATCACTGTGTAGATGACACGAAATCAGATTGCTTCCACAAGAATATAAACATTGTAAGTGCCGTTGTAGTAAGAGACCAAAGTGTGATAAAGAATTGATAAGTTATAATTTATAATCAAGGGTATTTTCTAATTTTTCACATCTTTGATGTTTCTGTCGTTAATTTTGAATGTAGGAGATGGTGCAGAAATGTTACAAACTATTGAAGCAGAAACTGATCATTCGCCGATCAGAACTTTATTGGGCAAAGAGTTTGCAATTATTGCCCCGAAGTCCCACCTGTGTGCTTGATCATGCATCTATGCAAGAAAGCAGCGATGCTTACAAGCCCTGACATGAAGCCTTGCCATGTGTGTGTCTCTAGCCAAGGAGGCTAAAACATTGCTTTCAAATTGTCCACTTCTGATTCATCATGATTTCTTTGATTTGGTGTGAGTGTGATTGTGTGTGCGTCTTCCATAAGGTTCTTTTGATTGGGTGTGCATTTTCAACAAGGTTCATCATGGAAAATTCTGACTTGTAAACGAAAGTGGTTATATTGGAAAATTCTATGCCGTTATTGATTTTCCTTTTGAAAAGAAATACTAAGTTGTACCTTTTTTTGTTGTTGTTGTGTGAGCCATATTTTTCTCACGGGAAGTAAATAAAATTCCTCGATTTTGTGATAACCTTCATCCTAAAATTGCAGTGTAATGAGTTAACTCAGATTACACTATCATAACATAGTCTAGTCAGGAGAAATAAAAAAAAAAAAATGATTGAATACCAAATGATGTAATATTCATATAATCAAACATATTGTAAGAAGAATTAAACTACCTTGATGTACTGTAAATAACTATAGTTGAATTCAAAACTTGTACAAAGTACAGTTTACGATATCCATTATTGGATAGTACTATATGCAATCAATGTTACACTATTCGTTATAGAATCTTATTAAACATAACAGACAATACAGAATATAACTAATCCTTGTCTAATCCATATTTCCACAAGCAAAATGTTTTCTTGACAACTTATACATCCATATTGTAACTCATTATATTAATATAATAATATTATTCAATATTATATATATATTTTTTGGTGATAAGATGTATAAATTGTTAAAATATCTCTTTTTTTCTTTTGAAAAATATTTTCTTAATGATCCATATGCCATCTACAACTTATTATATTAATATAATAATATTATTTGATATTATATTAATTTTTTTAGTTATTGATAAAGTATATCAATTGTCAAAATATCTTCTTCTTTTTTTGAGAAATATTTATTTTATAACTTAAACATATATTCTATAACTTATTATATTAATATAATACAAGTGAAAGAATATTCAAATAGATTTAGCCTTTAGGAATTCTACTGCTACAAGATTTCTTCCACTATTGAGTTTTGGACCTTTGCTCAATTGAAGTTACACAAGAATAATGTGCTCCCACTATTGTCCACAGTCTCAATTTGCAATTAATGTTTTAGTAAGATTGACCTGAGAGAAAGCTTAAACAAGGTTAACACTCATCACCACCTGAGAGACAAGTTTGACCACTTATTTTCATTTTCCCTTTGCACATTATGAACATTGAATTTATCAAATTTACATGGTTATGATTTATGAGAGGTGTTAGGACTTGAGCACAAGAAGAGAGTCCATTCCAAAAAATTAATCTATTGGATGAGAGAACCTCAATTTAAGACCATATTAGGATATGCAATACAAAAGAAGCTATTCTAAATTTTATTCTACGTTAATTAAACTGCAAAGGAGTTGCTTACGCTTGAACAAAAGATTTTGATTTGATAGACCCAATTGAACAATATACTGAAAACCACACCAACAAGTTTCGATTACGTTACATGATTCTTCGTTCACCTCAACTCTGGTTCTTCAGTAGACAGAGGCAAAGGAAAATTCCACTGCATATGTTGTTGTCTACCAACACGACAGGAAACAAGCATAGTGGTAGTTTAAACCCATTGCGAAAGTTTGTACTAAAACAAACGAGGAGCCTTTATGTAAGGAAGACGGGAACATCTGAACAAGGAAGATCAGAGGGTTAGAATTAGCCAATCAGTTAGGACAAGATACACGCTCCTGCAATCTTGAACTAGACTTTAATTTTTCAGTAATTTTGTACAAGTCCATAGCTATTCATATCGGGCATGGCATGGCCCAGATAAGGGTATTAGTGATGATGAATGATTTAAAAGACGAAGTTTCTCATGCCCACAGGCTACAGGCCCTGTCTCATGATCATGATTCACGAACATTAGTCAACGTTATACTGTTGTCTCATTTAGTTTTAAACCGCCACCTTCTTCCCTAATGAAATTATGTGTTGGTTCAACAAACAGAATTTGATTCATAGCACAATGTTAGAGTTTCTTTGTTCTTTTTTAACCTTTACATTATACTTATTTTTAAATATCTTGGTTTTATAATTAAAAGAGACATTTGTATCGAATTTATAACTGGACTAAATAAAAATTGAACAACTATTAAACTAACATTAACATTGTAATCACACGCACTACAAAAAAAAAACCAATTCTAGTGATATAAATATTTATTACTAAAAATTATAAAATTATCACTAATGTAATTGTACAATATTTTTAAATATCACTAAAATTAAGCTTTATAATAAAAAATATATATATTTAACACCAATAATTATATATAATAGTAATAATAATAAATTGTCACAATAGTCATAAACAAAGTTATCATTATTAAAAATTTATAAAAAATAATTATTTTAATATCACAAATATTTTAAAAATACAATAATAAATTAATTATTATTTATAATTTATAGAAATTATTATTATTAATTTCATGTCGTAAATATATAAACAATACTAATTATTTGTCATTATTATAATTTATAAAATAATTATTATTATTATTATTATTTTAATTTCACAAATATATATATATATAGGAATAAAGATAATAATAAATTAATTATTATTGTTTATATTTTTTATAATAACAATAATTAGAATAATTTTAATATTAATCTTTGTTGTTATTAATAATTTTTAAAATTATTATTAAATCATTAAATTATTAAATATAAATGATAAGCAAGTCTTCTATGTTTGCTTCATTATTTCAAAATTATAATGAATAGATAAATTATTTTAAAAATATTAAAATAAACAAATATTCAAACATAAATTATCCATTACACTATATACTATAAGCCTAAAACACAGTAAATATTTAATAAGATTCTAAATTCAAAGATGATAAACAATTGAATATATTTTTACTCCAAGCTATTATAATTAAATAACTATTTTTAGAATAAAAAATAATAAAAACAAATTGTACTATCTTCAACGAGTTTGATCCTACAAAATAAATTAAAAAAATAATTAAGATTAATAAAATAGTAATTAATAATATTTTAGATATATAAATGTGTAAACAAAAATTATTAGAGATATTTTGGTGAAAAAATTAAAATAGTAAAACAATCTACTTATCTCGATGGAGCACTTAAACCATTAGATACTCATGTGAATGTAAGCCACCTAATAAAATAGTCATCTGACCTTTGATCTCTTTTTTAATATTTTGCTTCATAATAACTTGTTGAACTTGAAGTTCAAATTGTAATTTATGTTGAAGTTGAATATGAGTATTAGTCAATTTTTACACTTGTATCTCTAAATCATTTGTTCTTTTTTATTCATCTTCTAGTTGATTTTGAATAAATTGTTTCTCTATAACTTTTTTTGTCATTGATGTTGATTTTGTTTCTGATACAAATGGAAAGTGTGTAACTAATAGAATAAGTGCTTTTCAAATTTCTTAATATGTCTCACCCACATTCTTCAAATTATCCTATAAAATATTAAGAAAAAATAATTTACATTATAAATATGTCATAATATACTACCACTATAAGTTAAATTATTTTTTTCTTACCATAATCTTTTCTCCATTTGGAATACATCATGTTTCATCGGATCTCATCATGTGTATAGTCTTCCATACCTCCACAAGCATTTGGTCATTTGTAGATCTTTAATTTTTCTTTCTAAATAAACACAAGGTTAAATAAATAAAAAATAATATAAAAGAATCATATAAAATTTGTGCATATAAATGTAAAAACAACATAACCAATTTAAATACTTTTTGGACAATTGATTTTGTACCGAGTAATTGGTTTGATTTCTTGTTTACTTCTTATATCTTTATTTTTCAACCTCCTTTCATGTATAAATACATAAAATATTTTATACCATGACATAAAATTACATATAGAATCAAATTCAAAATATATAATAAAAGAAATTTTACATGAAATTTGGAATCATTCCATTTATTCTTTATCAACCAATTCCAATCACTTGGAAGCACATCTTTTGACCTACATTTATTTTCAACATATATTCTATGCAAACAACAATGTCTTTTTCTATATTGCTTTTGCAATTGTTTCATTACATGATCTTTATCTTTTCCAACAAATATAATGCATCCTTATACATTTATAAAAAGTAACCAATAAAACAAGTTCAAAACATATTAATGATTTAGGATACATAAATAAAATTCAATTTCGTTAAATTAATAGAGTTATACTAACCTTCATATGATTCCACATTATAACTAAATCATCTTTAGATATCTCTTTCCAAGTTTTAACTTGTAAATGAGCTTTTTGACGAATATATATGACTTGCTTAAACTTTAAAATATTTAGCATGTTTTTCACATAACTTAAAGTATGGAGGAGGAAAATACTTTTTTATTCATTATCGTTAGTTTTGTCCTTTCCTTTTGAAGTTTTGCATTTATGGTATGTCCACGTCTCCTTAAAATATGTTTATCTAAAATAAATTATTAAAAACAAATTAGTAACAACTTTAATAAATAATTTACAAAATTTTAGAACATGTTATACAAGGATATGTAATTTCTTCAAGATTAGAATCATTGAACTTTGAGGCAATGACCCTTTTAGAATTTAATTTGAATGATTTTATTATCTATAAAACAAAAGAGTTAATGATTAAAATAATAATAAGATATTATAAAAATATTAATTAAGTATATAAGAGAAAGAAAAATAGTACTTACATTTGTTTCATCATCCATTTCATAAAGCTTGAACGTTTTTCAAAATTTTACACTTATATTTTACATCATCCTCTTCAAGTTTTTCTTTATTCATCTTTTTTATATATATATTTTGAGTTCGTTTTACTTTTAAAGGATAAATATTATGTGTCAATCCCAAAACCTCTAATTTTGCTTTGTTTTCTTTAATATTTTATAACATTTTATTCTTCGTATTTTGACATGG